AGAAAGACAGTTCAGCCTTGTCAAAAGCAAGTAAGAGCACAAGTCAGCAACATTAAGGTTACTTTTTCATTATCAAATTCAGTAAAAAGTGTTCCTACTTGTAGTAAAGTTTCAGAATCCCATTTCATGCTTGTTGAGAGGAAGATTACAAGTTAAATGGTACTCGACAGGTTTTAAGTAGTGGGTGGAGTAGGTTGTAGGGTGACCAAGTTTGACTAATAACCATTGTTAAGTATAATTCTATCGAGCAAAAAACGTGTTGGAATATTGAAAAAGAAAAGATGGCTTAATGATTTGGGATATTTTTTTTTTTTTTTTATACAAGACCATCATTGAAATTGCTGAATGTCTCATGAAGAAAGGCAGTTGGAGAAAGAAGAAAGAGATGCATAGAAATGCATACGAAATCACTCACAATGTAGACACAGCTGCCAGGATTACGAAAAAGAAAAAGATAAAATAGAAGAAGTAAATATTTTGAAACAGATTTTGTGTAAAATCTAATTCTGGTGGGCATTTGAAGAGGTGGGAATGGGAAACCGTGCTGTTAGTACAGCAGCCATTCTCTGTACCAAATGTCATGCAGAAGAGTGTAGGGAGGTTTCAAGGCAAAGGGAGGGAAGGGCAGTAGAAATAGTGCCTCCTTTGGTCACAGGGGTTCAATCATCATTATCAGCAGTAGCTGATGATAAAAGAAAAGGAAAAAAAGATCTTCAAGGCACTGGACAATATGCTTTTGTGATCGGATCAAGATGTGACACGCGATCACATAGAGACACACAAATCATGGACAATTGATATCATAAGAGATCTGACATTTGAAAGGGGTCAAGTTTTTCGCACAGGAGGCAAGTGCGAGTGGCCATTTGTGTGAGACGACACCGGGTAGGTAGAATACATTGTTTCTTTTGATAACGCCATAGTAATTCCAGCAAGAAGTCTGCAGAAAAGAAGGGAAACAATTGGAACAAATCGACATGTTTTAAACACTGGCTAAATGATAGAATCCAACTCAAAATTGAGGTATGGAGGGAGCAACTTTCTATTTTTAGCAGAGTTCATAGATGAAAGTGGGAGGAGAAAGAATTAATGTTGCCATGACAACTTTGAAACTGTCAAAGTTTAAAAAAAAACATGTCGACACAACACATGGAATAAATAAAATGAATTTGTTGAGAAAAAGAAAATGTCGAAATAGAAACATTATGAAAAGAGGAATACAAATGAAAGGCCGCAAGTGCAATGGAAATTCTAAAGAGGTAACAATGTCCGCTCCCCTTGTGCACACTGAGAAAAGAAAAGCAAAGGGGAGGATGACACAAGAAATCACAGGCAATGCAGGCAGGGTGGGGAAGGGCAACAGAAGCAACTTTTATTGCCCACAACAGCAGAAATCTAAAACTGACAGCAAGGAGTGTAAAAAAATCACTCCAGATAGTTGTTCAGCAACTTCAGCATGTAGGTTAGATGCCAAGAGAGATATATAATCATTTATAACTTTTACTGATCAATGTTAAAATTCAGACAGAGGAACAGCAGAGCATTGAGATATAATCAGAAAAGAAAGTGTTTTGTCTTCATACAATCATCTTCATGTAAGAATCATAAAAAAAAAAAGATTGTCAAGAAAGATAAAGTAAGAAAGAATGCTTCCTTCATGTGAGAGAAATTCTCATTTTTAAGGAACATTACAAATCTCAACAATTTCATCATTTAATGCCCATCTGTGCATCATAGGCATGAAAGCTGAAGAATCACCAGAGTAAATACAAGAAATGAAATACATTAATCATTTATATATTTAGGATTGCTAAGAATGAGAGCAATGTTTATTGTTATTTTTTTCTTTTTAAGAAGGTAAGATTTGAGCCACCAATCTCTTGATGTCTCACAGACACACATAGTGTGCACAAATTGTGAAGACATCGCAAATGTTAAGAGTTGCACCGAGAAAAGAAATTACATCAGAGACACATACATTTGATACAGTCTTCTTATATTTCAACTGATTTTCCAAGGAAGATGAAAATGATGGCACTGGAGGAGGAGAAGAATGAAGAAACAGGAATAGTTAAAAATTAAGCCTTTTGTCAATGCAACCATATTACACTTCTTGAACGTTTGAACTTAGTCCATTGGCTGAGATGATAAGCACCAAATCTTTGGGCTCTTTTGAACAGAAATCACAACTTTCATACTTTGGTATGAGCACCGTGAAACATATTGACATTCTTATTGAGATATGAGCGTTCTTGAAAATTGGCAAAAAACAGAAAAAAAGGGTGAGGGGAGAGGTAACGAAGCAGCCTATTTTCCATGCAGGAAAATTCAATTGGCTTTATTAAGACATTTCCCAAAGAGAATATGAAAAGATAAAAAATGAAATACTTGCACTGACAAGGTAGGAGGAGGAAGTGAATTCATATTCACACGCACACAGAGAAAGAGAGAGAGAGAGAGTGAGAGAAAAAGAAAAAACACAGCAGTTTGCACTAATGTTACAATATATCAATGAAAACCTGGAAAAGATTCTTTTCAAAAGAATCTTGTAAGTTGAGTTTTGAAAAACTCATTATTATTTTCTTTGTATAATGTGTGCCGTCAAACCATAAGATATGACATGCTAGGTGCACAAAAATTCAAATTCCATGAAATTTGACACAAAAAAAAATTCCTTTGTTAACCACAATAGCCATTGTTGGTCTGTGCAGTTTTAATGTACATTGCAGTTGACATTCATAAGAATTACCAACATTGGCCACTATAACCACAAAAAAAAACAGTGGCATACAGCTGTAAATAAAGTGTGCAATGCAACTGCACTGTAAGATACTGTTAGTCAATATACAATATAATTGCTTTTTTGCTCACATGTAAACGTGTGTAGACAACACACACATAAACACACACACACAAATTAAAATGAAAGCAAAATAAATGAAGATACCCTGAGTTAATTGTTGTCATGGATAAAAAAAAAAAATTGATGTATCCGTACAATATACACAACCAAATAGCAGAGAGAACACCAAAGTTTCCAAGAAAAATGACAAAAACTTGATGAATGCACAAATACATTAAACTGATACAACAGAGACAACCAGTCGTTCCACAAGTTAATTTCTCATACACAATAAAATGTTTGGAGGATAGAGAGAAAGAGAGATTTATCATTTGCATAGAGTAGATGTTGGTAATTATTGATGCCAATATGGCGATACTGATAGAGAATATTCATTACTTGCTGATTGATCTGATAGGATTCAAACTAAATCCTATAAAAAAAGTGCGAGAAAAGTATGGAGGTGGGGTAGACAAACATCCTCAAATAAATGAGATTGAAAAATGAGATATGAATGATAAGGAAGAAAACAAAAGAATTTTCAAATTGGAAAGTCATTATTAATGACACAATAAGAATTGTTCTCAAAATATCTGTGTTGACAAGAGTAAAGAATAAAAACAGTAATTATTATTATTATTATTGTTGTTAAATGGAAAAATTTGATGAAGAAGAGGTCGATGATGTCACTGATCTTATAAATTCCTAAGGAACCTGGCCATACAAAATTGAAGATAACAAAAGCAGAGAGAAAGAACATCTTTCCATTCAGCTCTTCTGTCCAAACTCAGCAACCCTACTGCAGAGTTGGTGGATTAAAAAAAAAAAATGGTAAGAGAATAAAGGAAATGCTTTAAAGAAGACAGTCTTTCGACTTCCTAGTGCCATTCACAGCATTTCCACTTTAGTACAAGCTCCATGCAATTAAGTTAGAAAAAAAAATTTTAAAAAACGAAAAAACAATTGTATGGCAAAAAAACAAAACATTTGTATCAATTAGACCGTCTTCTGGGATAAATGGAAGTAATCCAGGTTGATTTTCTTGATTTTAGATTTCCCTATTCAAATGGAAAAATCTTAAAAGTATCCAATTAAAAGAATCCTTAGTAAAGGCTATTAATATTAAGTGTTAATCAAAGAAATTTCCAATGCTTATTAAAGCAAGACAGATTTTTCAAAGAACAAAATCCAACTGCTTTGGTTAATGGAATAATATTGAGCTGGTCAAAAAGAGAAAAACACCGATATAGCCATGTTGCACAAACCGGAGTTAACATATAAAGATGAATGCGGCATTGTGAACAAGAGGAGTTGGCTAAAAAGAGCAAGAACACAAAGCAATCACAAGCAAACAATAAAAAAGCACAGAGGAATTTGGGGGGAAAAATTGTTTAGCAGTTTCTTTTCATATTTTTCTTTAAATAGAAAAATTAGCTTGTTAATAATTATTAACTTATAAAAAAAAAGAAAAAAAGTTAAAACTTTTACATTTTCTCCTTAAAACCCAGCAGTTAAACATTAAAATAATGAACAGTACAATTTCATGGAATACAGCCAAGTTTGGTTGGCAGTTACCAATGGCAACTCTCAGGTTTCTGTTTTGTTTTAGTTGTTTTGTTGTCTGGTGTGTAAGAATGCTGAATATACAAGTAGAATAAACCGGGCTGGGATTTGGAGATGGTTGGTCCAGTCCAGCTGTGACCAAATTATAAAATTTGTCCATCAGTAAAAGAAAGGGGGAAAAATAGTGCAGCATCGTTGTTCTGGGCAGATAGGGGTTGCACAATGGCCCATTTGACCCATTTGTGACCTTGTGTTCGTTACTATCGTTGTTGCTGCTGCTGCTATACAGAACATATAGTTTAGATAATCTTTGAATAGGGTGGAAAAGAATAATAATAATTAAGGAAAGAAAGAAAGTAGAGAAGAAGAAAAATGCAAAACCATTTCAGTTTTAACATTCCAAAGTCTTTCCTCTTTTTTAATTAAATATGTTTTCCCTCCCTTTCAAATTTTTTTTGTTGTTGTTGTTGTTGTTGTTGTTGTTGTTCACTTCCAAGTTTTTAAGACTCAATGCTGAACATCCACCATTTTGTCTAATTCAGGCAAAATGTTGAACTTTCCATTGTGGCCCACCAGAAAAGACAACTTGTGAAATTTAAGAAGGATTTTCAATTTTAAGTGAGGACTTTTCTGTAGAAGCTGCCATATTCAATTCTTTAATGCCCTGTAATATACGCTTTAAGTGACCAACTTTACGGACACCAAGATCCTGCAAAGAAAAGAAAAAAATTCTGAGTAATTATTTATAAATCTCAACTCTTCTAGTTTCCTGCTAATAACAGATGGAAATAAATGAGCCGAGGTCAAAAAATTCACATGGGTCATCACCATCTTTCTTACACACAAACACACACAATATATGTACAAAGTATTGAAACATTAAATATAATTTTGATTTTATATTCATTTATATGTTGAATAAATATGTTGTCAACAAAACAAATTATGTAAATATTCTAACATTAATATTCATTAATATTGATTGTTCTAACATCAATATTCATTAGAAAAATCCACAATATGAATAAATGCTAACAAATGTTAAAATAAAACATTGAGTTATTTCAAATTGGATAAATTATATCTGTTGAATCAAGCAAGCTTTCTTTAGCATTTCTAGATATGAAAAGGTGGAAGAAAAATTTAAGAATAACCAAAATAATTTGCATTTTTAATTAGGAAAATTATTTTAATGAAAATTTAAAGTAATTTTTTTTTAATCTCATAAATCAAAAATGGAGTTCATATGTGACTTCCAAAATGGGTCCTGAACACCCAATCATTCAGTTGGTAAATGTTTTGTCAATTTTCATGGATTTAATATCTTTATATAGTTGAACAATAAAAAAAAAAAAAAAAAAAAAAAAAGAGGAAACCAAAAAATTAGGGTGGCAGCTGAAAAGTTTATTCAATTTATTAAGTGGAGAGATTTTACAAATTTTTATTTTCAGCAGTAAGTTTATTGAACAACATATTTAGAATTTTATTTCACTATTTTCTGCTACAACTCAAGTAACTTCCATCCTATCAAAACATTTATCTTTCTCAACAATGAACTGCTTGAGGTGCCTTTTGCAGTCGTTAAGAGAATTTAAATATTTTTTTATTAAGACAATTATCTAAAGACCACTATGAATTATAAGTCAATGGTTCAATATCTGATGAAAACAACAGATGGGTGAAAGATTTTTAGCCAAGTTGTAAAAATTTTTGCCTGGTCATCAAAGAAATATGCAGTCAATCTGGGGATGTTATCCTGATAGAATATTATGTCCTTTGTCTTAATTAATTCTAGACACTGATATTTTTTTTAGCGATCACTGCCTTCAGCTGTTCTAATTGGGAGCACAGTACTTTGTCCAAATCAATCATTTCATTCTTCAGCATGAATTTATGACCATAATTCAGTTTTATTATATCTAAAATCTTTGTTTCCATATTATAATAAACTAGCCACTTTTAATCACATGTCACAATTTGTCTATATTTCTGAGATGCGGTATTGTAATTATTTACATTGGACTGCTGTCCTCATATTTATTGCCATATTCATGATGTTTCAGCTGTTATATGCTCCAACCTTCTTCAGGTGATTGGAATTTCAAACTGAACCCTTTATTTCATCATCCGGGCTAGTTTGTTCTAGTTTCACATTCCATGCCTCTTCTGGGTGTCTCAGTTATCTCCCTTTAACTCAACTCTCCAAGTTTTTATTCACCACTGCAGAAGGTAGGTATTGAACACACAACTCTTTGGGTCAAGTTACTGGATTCAGTCAATGCTTTTATCCCCTGGCTTAAGAGATTTTTGTGGAATCAGCATATATACCAGGCCACAAAAATCTAAGCCAGCAAAGAATAGAAATGAATACAATATGAGAACCAGTAATATAGAGTACTAGAGAAAAGCAATAACAAAATTGCAATATGAGCTCTGGCAAAAAATGATTAATGAGACATTAAGTTCATAAGTTCCAAAAATTCATACACTAATGTCCTCAAGGAGACATGGCTCAGTGTGATAAAAGTGTACAATGGATAAAAGCATTGGTTACATCCAGTGACATGACTCAAACAATGTGAGTTCAATAACTGGCTACTGCAATGGTGAACAAAAAATTGGAGTTGAGTGAAAAGGAGATAATTGAAATATTCGAAAGAGGTATGGCGCATGGAACTAGAACAAACTACCCTGGTGGTAATTTCAGTTTGAAATTCCAATCACCTGAAGAAGGCCAAAGTATATATGTTGTGAATACAGCAATAAATGATTGATTGATTAAGTTTTATAGCATATCAACCTCAATTGGTTATTTAATGCTGACAAAATTTTTATTGCTGGTAATATTTTTCTTCAAAACATTATTTTTTAGCAATATCCTTCCTTCTAAAATCGATTGCAAGTAATATTTTCCAAAAATGTATTGCTGGTAACAATTTTTCCTCAACAATGAATAGATGTTAATAATTTTTCCTTCATAAAAGTATTGCTGATAACCAAAAATGTATTGTTGGAAATAATTTTTTCAAACTACGTTAGGAAAACAAGAAAGCAGATTTAGTAAACTATTTTCTTTTTTTTTTTTTTGTAGAGTCCAATTTCTTTAATGAAATTTAATAATATTACGTGGGTGAAGTGTCCATACTTTCTATGCTCTCCAGCCTATTAGCATTTTGTTTCTTGTTATATTTTGTTCTTTGAACTTTTGTTTCTGCTTGTTTGATTTTATTCCCTTAGTTTTTCCATTGGGTTCTTTTAATGATTTTTGTATGGATGAAGACCGTTCCCTTGTTTGTGATGGGCTAAAGTTTTATTTCTCTATGTCCATTTCTCTTGATTCTTCACTAAAAGTTGTGTTATATTTTTTATGTACATTTTGATTCTCTTGAGAATGTTTAGAGGTTTCTATTTCTCGGATTTTTGTACTTTGGTTTGGAATTTTCAGATTTAATTGTACATGTAGAGACTTTTTTTTGTTAGGTTGACAGGACAGGATTTTTTTTGTCTATGGGCATTTGCTTTATGAGTGATATACTACATTTTAGTAGTTCTATTAAACTTTTTAATTCATTAATAAGAGTTATAAGATCTTGGCTTATTAATGCATTGTTTTCTTGGATGTCTTTTTGTTGATTTAATATTTTAGTGATATTTGCATATGATGCTTGAAGTGAATTAGATTCAACCTGTTTCCTGGCTTCTTGGAATGAGATATTTTGCGTGTATTTTCTTTTAATTATTTCCTTTTCCTTTTTCCAAATGTTACACTCTTTGGAGTCTGCTGGATATTTTTCTTTACAGTTTGGACATAAAGGAGGCCTTTCACAAGGTGACTCATTGTCTCCAGTTCCCCACATCTTCAAAAGACTGATGTTCATGTACAAACATTTTGAAGATGACCAAATTTTTGACATTTATGACATCTACGGAGGATTAGGAATGTATGGCTCTACCTTCGCTATTGTGTAACCTAGCTTTATTTATTTTGGTTTATTTATTTTTCTCGAATGTCAAAATGTATGTGTTGGTGTTTATTACTGTGTCATTTGTTTTTACTTGAATTCTTTTAACATCTGTTACTCCATGCTTTTTTAGGGAGTTGTCATTTTCAGTTTCTTCTGATGAACAAAGTGACAGTTCTGGGCATTTTATTACTCCTTTTGATGAATTAATGAATTGATGCAGGTAGGCTTTGACTTTATTGTTGTCAATTTGCTTGATTTTTAGCAATTTCTCTGCATCTTTTTTGGATATCACTTAAATTAATAGAGTATTATTTTTCTTTATTTTTTTAACAGATTGTGGCTTGATCATGTCTGAAATAAACCTTTGCAACACAATATCACCCTCTAATGATTCTACAATAATGAAAGTTGGAAATTGATTTTTTTCTATTTTCACTATCAGAAGTCTCATATTGTCTCTTGGTTCACTTATAAGAGATAGACATATAATTTTAATTTTTGTATTCACTGTCTGTGCTCCCCACCCATCTCGGAGTTTCTTCTTAAGAGACGCTATCAGGGAGGACTAATCCTATTCGCCCTAATCTGCCAGGGCTACACAGACAGTATAGTTGTGATGAGAGTGGATACAAGCACCCACACTCCCGCACCATATCTACCCAAGTATAGTATGATGTAAGGTTTCATGGCCCTGTTGGACCCATTATCTATCATCCCAATGAGGCCTTGCCACTATGTGATTAGCCGATTGGAATGGATTGGGCTATTCCATCCGCCCATCTATCCTAGGTAGGGACCGATGTGACGTGTTGTGGAAAGTCCTGGTCATTTTATACCAGATCAGGAGTCACTCAGTCACCAGGACTCCATCCCCAGGCATCACGGGTCACCATCCATGGCAAATGGGTGGCCTCATTTAGGGGAAATTTTAGTTTTTTGAAATCAGGTTTTGTGAATGTGCCCTTTATATACTGCAATTTGTGTTGATGGTATTATTACAAAAAACCCATTCTTACACTTTCCTAGTATTCCGAATCCAGATCAAGGGAGGGGGTAAACTACTTACACATAGTTGGAACGCTAATGGGTGTTACCACCTCGGGTCAGAGTGGACCTGGGAACAACAGCAACTAAGAGACGCTTCCACATTCCTCAAAACCTCCTGATCAGATGTCTTACTGCTGGATGCAGTTTATCGTCATACCCAGGATGGGGATATAGCAATAAAGATGAAGACAACAGTCCAAACAATGTAAATAATGTCACAATTTGTTTCCACAGAAAGATGATCTAATAAGTTATATATTTATGTGGAAGCAAATTGACTAACATGATTTTCATTGATTGATTTGGATATCTTGAGGAGTAGGTTGACTTATCTACATCATAATAACAGTGAAAGCTCTCATGCTTTGATTTGATTTCAACTTGGAGAGTACAAACAGAAAAACATTGCAAAACACTTCTGACATGCTCAATCATACACAGCACCTACTGCATAAACTGCATGAATCTATTTTTGTGCAAGTTGTATTTTTAGCTTTCTTAAAATATAAAAGCATAATATACCAAAAAATGTTGATTGTTTTCCCTTATATTCAATGTCAGAATTAACAAACAAAAATAGGCTCATTTTGACTAATTGTTTCAAAGTGAAATCAATCAAAGTTGATATGTCAACTATAACGATTAAATCAAAAGCAATTTTTTGGAATGAAGTTAAGATATTAACAGTTCTAATGGTATCTACTAATAAAAACAAATAAACATTTTGGTCAATTCATTATATATGGAGAAAAAGTGCAAGGTGGTAAATGTACGAGAAATATGTAGTGTCAGACCAACAGAGAGAAGGTAAAAAGCTAGTCTAGATGAATATCATTACTTAGTAGTGATTTTGATCCTAACTGCCCGATGGCCTTCTGCCTTCTTATTTACTAATAAAAACTGCTTTGGCATACAGTGATGAATGAGTTAGCTTGGTTAAAAAATTAGTATCATGTTGTATGGCCAAAATGTGTGACTTTGTGCTAAAACTAAACTAAGTAAAAAATAACAGACAAGAGCTAAACATATACAAACATAATATTTTTAAGTTTAAAAAAAGATAAAATATACATACTTTGAGATCTCTTCGTTCCAGTGTCAACAATTCAGAACCTCGGATTTCATTCATAATAAAATTTTCTTTATATTCACTGAGTGCTAATGTGTCAAGCCAGTTGGCCACGTGTAGGAGGCTCCAGTGTGACACGCACAAGTCTGTAACAAGAAATACATTTACAATAAGTAAATTAGAGATTTGTTTCCATATATTTTAGAAAAAAATTCTTTTTGGCAGATTTTGCCATTAAGTATTTTTAAATTAGTTTGTATTTTTTATCATCATATTCTATATTTTTGTTGATTTATTTTCAATATTTTTAGTCAATTAGAAAGAAAAATGTTTTATATGTAAGTTGAACTTGTATTCTGTATAATTTTATAAATTTGCAGTCTGTAAAATAGTTAAATTCTTTAAAAATCATGAATTCCATTTAAATATCCAAAAAATGAAGATGTCAAAATGCCAGAAAGAATGACATTTTTTAGGATCATGCAACTGGTTAATGTTAGTTTTGCTTATGATATTATGGAGAAAAAAAAAAAAAGATTATTTTTTAAATTTCTTCTAAAGTTTATTAGTTTTGTAAAGAAGAAAGATGAAGTAAGCTGGAAAATGAAAAAAATAAACAAAAGTGAGTTCAGCTAAAGTTACTAATGTTGACCTATAGTTTTTGGTCTATATGAATCCCACTACCAGTAGGCAATAAGCATCATGCAATTTACCTGACAAACAAAACCTTGTTTAGTCTCAAGCAGGATTTCTTTCTAGATTTGTTTAAAAGCACAAACATATTAGCCAAACAAATTTATTGCAATATGAATATGGGCATATTATTGCAAGAAACTTGCAAATATAAATTAATTCTCAATCAAATTGATTGTCATGAGATTTATATTATTATTGTGACTAGAAAAGTTTCATAAAAAAAAACTTTTTAAGTGTTAGGTTAACATTTCTTTATCCAGCTTGATAAAGTCAATCAGTTTTGATATAAAACAATTGCATGCAGGTAAGTAACAACTCATTGCGGTTATTTGTAAGAAAAAAAAAAGAAGCATTTTAGACAAATAAGCAAGCATTTAAAAGCAAGGTGTCAGCAATATGGCTGTGCACAGAAACTAAAACCCTAAATAGCTTTTGACAAATGAACAATAATCAGTTAAATACTTTACCCACTGACAAAAACTAACATAGTTCCAATATTTAGACATTTTCTGCAGGTGTAATTGTGTAAATACCCCAGGGAAATGTTTGGGGAATTACCATTTAAATGCAAACACCCACACATGCACATATATTTGGTATAGAATAATGAATCAATATAAGCTCATTTATTCTTTATAAACTTTTGCTAGAATATCTTAGATAATTTTATGGCTGAAGATATATTGACCTCTGTTGTTTTGGATGTTATGTTGTTGTATGAAGTTAAGCTTTTATAGAAGTAGAATCCCAGTGATCCATGTTGAGAAAGAAAGTGATGAATAAAATTCAAACAGAAAGCTGTTAAATACAGTAAAGGTTATAAAACTGATTTGCTTGAGCCAACGTTTAAAAAGAAGTTTGACATTCTTAGGCAAAGGATATTCAATATATCATTAATATGAGAACAACATCAGCAAATATGAAGATTTATTTAGCATTAATAATAAATTAAATAAACCTAGATTATACACTTTGATAAAAGATTAAAACAAAGTTATTTTTAAAAATATGCAAAATTGCTTAAAATTTTAATGAAAATGTTCAATTTAAATTAAGAAAAATATAAGACATTTTTCTTTTATTTCAAAAATGTGCACCCTACCACCTCACACACACTGTCTGCTAAGATTTTGGACCACAAAAAATTTGTAGGCAGAAAATTCCTTGATTAAAATTCAATTTCATACTTCAAAGGAAAAGCAAGTTACTAGTGATCTATTGGTTTATGCCAACAGCTGGTTTGGTAATTTATTGTTTGTTACTAATAAAGTTGCCTGTAAATAGTCAGGAAACTAATTAAAAAAAAAAAAAAAAAAAAAAAAAGAGAATGCATCACTTTTTTCCCCTGTTAGCAACCAATCTGCAATGCTCTGAAAAACCTGCATTTTAGGACCATTTTTTAAGTTAAAAGAAAAATAACACAAAAGCAAAGATGAAAAAAATTTTTTTCATGGGCCTTTGGGAAATGAAAAACAATTTGATTTTTCAATGTCTTGGATAATAATGATGGCACATCATTTTGAATCACCAATGGGAAAATAGTCCAATAGCAAACAATATATATATATATATATATATATATATATATATATATATATATAAAATGGAAATTTATATTTAAATCAAAACCTGTCCAGAGGTAAACTAAATGTATGTCCTATTGATAGTTGAATCAAAATGAAAGTGGGTTGTAATTACTGTCACTGTCATTGTTGTAGGCATAAATGATGATGACGAATCACAGCCTGAAAGCTGTCTATCCAACCCTATACAGCAATACACTCACACACACACAGTCGAGCAGAGCCAACAAGAGAAAGTTACCTGATGATGTGCCTAGACTGAGGTTTCCCTTGTCCCGGTCCTTATCACGACTTTTGCCTTTCAGTTTAGAGTAAACCTGACGAAATTTGCCTCCCTTGCGATGTTTGTGCTCCCCTACGGATATCTGCAACAAAAAAACCATACAAGGCGGCAGCAGCAGCAGCCATTATAGGGCAGCCAGAGATTTGTGACAGACAACATAGAACACTGAGTTCAGTTAGGTGCCTGAGATTTTGAGCACCCTGTATTGATAGAGGAACAGGACTGAAACAGGCAAATGTCTTCTGAGACAGACAGACAGACAGACAATACAGCAGCTACAGCCAAAAGTAACTGGACAGGCAAGTCTAATGTGCTTTCAAATGAACACGCTCACAGAGATTATTATTAACATTTTTTTGTGTTAGTGAAATTTGTTGAATCCAGTAAGAAGGCCTGAAAGTAAAAGTCAATTTGCTATGCCTTGTGTTGACCAACAAGCAATCAAATTGTTGTCATCTATACTAGATTCTAATCAAAAGAACAATTGGTCAAGAGGAGTAAGGTAAATGACATAAAAGAATGTCGACAAAATGCTCTTTCCCCAGAATTTAACAGTATGTCACCAAAGTGAAAAATATCTTCCGAAAAGGAGTTGAAAGAAAGGAGCCAAGTATTACAGGAAAATCATTAACCTGATAACAAACAGAAAAACAGGCAAGTCAAATTGTGAAAATGGAAATAAAGATCAACAGCCCAAGATGCTCACAATGCCAAATTTATTCCTTATAAAATCAGTAGAATGAAGTAAAAAAAACAAAAAAAAAACATGTTGGGAGTAGGAGAGAGGCTTCTATCCTGGAACAATATTTCAGCAGTTGATAATTGTCCTATTAAATATAAGTGAACTCCAGTCTGTCGGGAGATCTCTTAGAGAGAGAGAGAGGCATAAATAGATTATGACTGGCACAAAAATATCCATAAAGGAAAATACCATGTTAAGTTTTATGTTGCCCAAGCAAAACAAAGTTTTCAATATCCCTATGTAAACAGTTTGCAACACATCACTTGAAATTTATATTGATAAATGTAATTCAGTGGAGAATGATTGCATGAGAGGGGGAAGTGTTTCTGTATTTGTAATCGTGATACCAGTTGGAAATCTGCTATCTGAGCCACTAAAGTTACTTTAAAATTAGTTCTATTAACGAGTTTGCAAGAGTAATAATTATATTCATTTATCTTCATTTTTCTATTATACTGCAAAAAAGTTTTGTTAATTTCTATTCTTTTAGTAAAGCTTTGTAAATCTTTATTGGCCAGAATTTAAACTTTACATATATGTTGCAAATGATAGCTTAAAATCTTTTTGCTCTAACAACAATTCATTGTGAAAGAGGATTTCCATGAAAAAAAAGTTACTAAAATGCTACTGTATGTATTTTTCACCTGAAAAAAAGTCACTAAAACACTAATTGTAAATATTATGTATACCACTGACAAAGAAAAAGCAAGATTTTTAACCAAAATTTAGAACGTGCTAGAAATTATTAAAAAAAATTAATTAAAATAATAAAACATACTTTGGTCTTTTTTCTTAATAATAACAAACATTTTGGCAATAAAACTTAGTTTTTATTAAGTTTGGGGTCTTTTTTCATCATGCTATGCTGTTTTTTCAGAAAAAAAAGTGGAGGTACCTATAATTAAACTAAGTAAATATAAAACTTTGTAAGAAAATGAATTTAAGGTACTGGCAAACACTTCTGTATTTTTATAAATTGTTTATTTCAAGCATTTGTCCCCCTATTTCAGAATGTACATTTACCCTCAACCATTTGATGAAAAATTGATTCAAACATTATTATGATTTATGTAAAGCTAAGTGAAAAGAAAAAATGGATTAGCAAAAAAAAATTTCATCAAGAATAATCATCTACAAATAGTTTTTTAGATTTTTAAATGACATAAAATTTTAACAGCTATAAATCTTGAATAAAAATTAAAATTTAAAATCATTTTTTTATGTTTAAATAATATTCCAATTTTCTTTTTCAGTCTAAGTCATTGGGGAGGGTGAGAAGATGGCAAAGTGTCACCTTTTTCCAAACAATCACCACCTCTACCAGTGAATAGAATGTTTTAGTTAATTCACACACTAACCATGCTATGGTAAATGATGTCTACAAAAAGCCTGTTAGTAATATTGATGTGAAGTTAGCTCTGAAAAGACATCCATCTAATGAATATGGAAATAGAACTTACCTCTTCTTGGCTAGTTTGGAAGTGAAAGAGGCCACCAATTTCTACCTTTTGCATTTCTATCTCCAGTTGGGCTAAGGAAGCGTTTAATTCAGAATCAAAATTTAAATATTTCTGTAAAGGAAAAAAAAAAGAAACATGGTGAGTGAAGAATTTCACAGTATCAGCCCAAATGCAAAACACTGAAAATACATTTTTCTGCAAAGTCATTAATTTTTCCTGAGTAAAAATATAATCATAAATGGTAAAAAAGAGTGTCTGACTTTTGTAGTGTATATCTGACTGATGTTAGTCAGGTTGAACCAGAAATTGAATTGATTAAAAAAAAAAAAAGTCAGAGAAAAATGTTAGTCTAAGGTGAAATCCTTTGGGGATGAAATAATTTAAAAAAGAAATAAAATAAAATGACAAAGGCCATTTTAAACTGCAGATTTAAAAATGATTAATGCATGTATCCTCACAGGAAATAAAAGTTTAAAAAATAAAAAAAAATAAAATATATTTTGAAATTTTTTTAAATTTCAAGGAAATAACAAGTGATTGGAGAGGAAAGCCTTGAGTTTAAAGGTATTCTGCCGAGTTAGCAAAAGGAAGGAGAACACAGCAACATTGAGAGAAAATAAAAATATAAGTCACAGATCAGCAGCATGCTCATTGAATTTAGAAGAGACAAATAATCCCTAAAGTATTCAAAGAGAAAATGATTTAAATGAAAAGGAAAACATTTTGCACTTAAAGGAAAGCTTTTAATCAATGATTACTTTTATTTAATATAACTGATATGGAAAGATTTGGACTTGCTTAAGAAAGTCTTCTTTCAATCTTTTTTCAAATTTGCAGAAATAAAAATAAAAATTAAATTCACTTACAGATGGGGATTTTTCACGTAAGAAGCTGTGAGTTTCTTGGGATAAATTTTTCATGCTGTTGATAAAATTTGAGATCAGTGGCCGTAAAGATGGCTGGAAATAGAGAAAAAAGAATAAAAGAGCTTATGTAAAATATGTGATCAGTTTCTTGATTTTAAAGGAAATCTTGGCCAAATGGTGCCAAACTCAATGCTCTGTGATAATTTAGTAAGATATACTTTAAAAGTCGTTTTTTGTTTCTAGCTGAGTACATCAACATTCAAGTCAGATTTCATGAACTATTTCAGCCCCTAGATTAAAACTTATTTGTTTTGAGTTTTGAAATCTCTCTATTATACCTGTTTGATATGAACTGACTTACCTCTGCTAGAGTTGGATTGGCTTCTGTAAACTTTCCTGAGAGATACAGGGCTTCTAAACGTTCTGATGCTTTATCAGAATAGGAATGCAACTCTTGTTCAGCATCACTATAACTATTTGCTATACTTTTCACACTGAAAAACAATGAATACTAATTTAAACTCATTGATAGAAAATAAAAATTATCTTTAAAAATAATGACAAAAGAAAAAAAAAGAAATGAATGAATTAATTCTGTATATTGAACAATTTCAGTAAAAAAGCTTTTGATATAAAAAAAAAAAGGTTGAAACTTCATTGTCCATATAAACCTCAAAATTGTTATCAGTTTCAGAGATGGTAAAAGAAGAAGTAACATTTTTTTTTTTTTTACAGTTTAGAGATTTTATATTTTAAAGTGAAATGTATTTTTATAGTTATATGTCATTTATAATCACTTTTCAGAGGATGGAAACAGGGAGAATTAAAATAAAAATTAAAGTAAAGACTGACGTAAATACTATCTCATTTCAGAATGAATGAATGAATGCAATTTTATGACACATTATTGGTTATACAATGGCCATGTTGTCCAAAATAATTATTTAAAACCAGTTTTATTGATAAATATCCTAGAATTTCAACTTTAGAACTCCACATCGAACATGTCCAAAACAGTTGAAAGAGATGACAGCTATTAAGCATGAAACAGAAAGAGCAATGAATATATTTTCGTTTACGTCTGTATTGGTTAGAATCATTAAAATAATTCAAACTATATTATAATATGAACTGACCATCGTATAAGTGATGAAGAGGCATGAATAAAACTATGCAAAAGAGCTGATTCTTCTTCAGACAGTGGACAAGGCATTGGACTGATCGGACGAGGTAACTTCTGTTTGCTTGACCAATTCTTTAGGACATTTTCAAATGTCTGGAAATAAAAAAGAAAAATTCCAAAGCTGCTAATTTATCTAAAAATTTTACCATAAAATAAAATCTATAGTTTCCTAATAAAATTTCGAAGATTTCCAAAAAAAAAAAAAAAAAAAAAAAAAAAAAAAATTTATGTAGTATCATGGAGGTAAAACATTAAAAAAGGCCACATGAAAGATGTGTTCTAACATGATAAGTTAGTCATTACTACCTGCAAAGTGAATCAGATATCACCAGAAATGTTTGCTTAAGAATCAGATGAACTTATAAGAAAGAAGCAGAAAAGCATTAAATGGTTTACCCTGTCTCTTGTTAGCATCTGTGCTCTATTCTTGTGTACAATGCGTATATAACCTGGAGGTTGTAACCAGGCCTCACCATCAACCTGCACAGGTACACCTTCATTACCCATTATAGTGACTTTCACTGTCCGGCACTGGGAAACAAAATTTTTTTAGATGAAAATTAATAGTGGTAACAAAACAGAAGTGAAAGAAAAACTTGTTAAAATAACATCAAAATAATTATGGTAAGAAATCACAAAATAATTTCAAAGTGAGAAATGTAAATTCTTATAAAATGATTCTTTTCTTATACTTTCACAAGCTGGAAACTTTTTTTTTTAGTTCTAAAAAATGGAACCTAACAATCAGAAAAATGATCATGTGTAGCTTCTGCTTGAATGTAGATTAAAGAGAGAATATATTTTCACTAATGTTTTGGAGCCTTTTGAATTATTAAAACTACAGGCCTGGTAATTTATTTAATAAAGCAACACAGGATCAATTGAGACATGACACATAAGATTTGAAAGTTAATCAAAAATTACTTCTAAAAATTTTCATTCAATTTTTAATCCTTGTAGGATTCAATAAAAACAAATCTACATTCATTTCTTTGTGTTCCTAAAATAATCAAAGTGACCCTGACAACTAATAGTTAAGAGTAGGGTAAGCACTAAATATTATGCTTATAATAATAAAAACTCTTTAGTAAAGCTAATATTTCAAATAGTGTATAAAAAAATATGATTTTAATATTCCAGAAAATTATCACTATATCACTGAATTTTTGAAAACTTCATTTGGCCATTAAAAAAAAAAATAGTTTTTTTATTTTCATCTATAAAATAAAGCTACAAATAATGTTTTCTTTTAACTGTAATGCTCTTTTCTACATTCATGCCAGTGGATTGTTTAAAATTGAAATGATTATAGTGACAAGATGCTATAACAATTCCATCTATTAGTAAAAGTAGGTACACTGAGGAGAGTATTTATGAACAGGAGGTTAATTAATAATTTATGAAAATAGTTTACATTTTATTCCTAAAGTGACTAATTGAATGACAAGAAACACAACACACACAAAAATAGATCTTATAGAAAATGGTAAATCAAGAAAGAGAGATCCTTAAAAAATTGTATTTATATAAAAATGAAGTGAATAATTAAAAAAAAAAAATTGCTTTCATGAGATTGTTATTTAGAAAAAGGAGTATACTTCTGTGCCATCATCTCTACCTGACAAATACGGTGGTGATGTAAATCTATCACCCTGGAGACAGCCATCTGCATACTGCCAAATACTGCAACCACTTCCAGAATTTTGTCATCAAAACTTGGAGCTGTGAAATTCTTAAAAAAAAAAAAAAAAAATTGAACCAATGAGCCAAACATAATGACAAAATAAAATTAAGCAAATAAAACCAATACTAATCACTGCAGTAACACTGGTAGTAATAGTCAATGTGTTTTGTAGCAGAAATATTTGTGTATCTGCCATCAATAGTCAATGCTCGAGCTGAGAAATAGGCCAGGATTTGATGAATGTCAGGCAGACAAGTAGGCATCCTCTCCTAACCTGTAAAATTGTTGCAACCCAAATTATTTTACCCCCTTTTGGCATTGTACCAGGTAAATATGAATATGACATTAAGAGATTCTAATTGCAGAAGTTACACTTCCATTGTTGGTTGATGATTAGTATGATAACATTATTATTATTACTACTACTACTACTTACTACTATAACAGTAGTAGAGATGAAAGCTAAATCAGTGAATTGGTTTTAAAACAAAACAAGGATAATGTTACTGTTGTCACTATGGTAATCATAATTATTTTCCATTTTTAGAATTTCTAAAAAGTAAGAGTAGAGAGATACTATTAATAAAATGGATTTTACAAGAAAATGAAATCTACAATTATTAGCATGCCATAATGAAGTTAATCTTGCTGGTTTACTGTGAAAGGTTTGGAAAGCTGATTTAGGTAATTTGGATTTTACAAGTAGACAAGAACTGCCTAAATAACCTTTATTTTGAACTCAAGTTTGAATGAAGAAGCAAAAAATAAAATTCTGGGAGTAGAAACCAGAATTAACCAAAAAAATGTAACAGAGTTGTGCTAGAATTATGGAAGTTGAATGGAAGATAATATTTGATCAGTTGGACAGAAGGACATCTGCTGATATTAGATAAAGGGAACTTTTATTTAGTAAATTAATGTTTACTGCTTTTGCAGACCCAAAGGAAAAATGGGTCATATTTAGAGAGTACATTGAAAATATTTTGGGTCCATGTACAAAAGATAGCCAGAGATATCCAAACAGAAACTTCATTGTGGATGCTAGATTATTGATAATTAACTTCATTTCAACCATTGAGTAAGAAAGTATCTCATGAAAAATGCTCATGTAAAGATCTTATTACAGATGCTGGAAAAGTATAATTTTGGCCAGAAACTTAATTGGTGGAAGGAGAATTAGCTGACGATGGTAGTAAGAGAGACCTGGACTAATGAGTTGGCAGAGTAGCAATGCTGATAGGAAAATGATCAAACCAAATTTGGTAAGTGATTGATTAGGACTTACAGATCATTAACCTTTATCACATCAATTTCTTTCTAGAATTGTTCCCACTGCCGCTACATTCTTTTTGAAGGCACAAAAAAACATGAGCACCTACTGTTTTAAAATTGTTATAACATTCTTTGTATTATGTATAGATTTTATTTTTTGCATACTAATAAAAGAATGAATGAGTAATATTTTGATGTAATGCATTAATTACATTACAAAACACAAAATAAATAAATATAAAATAAAAAACAAATACATTAACAATTTAACATACTTTAACTTTTACTACTTCTTGTGGATTTCTGAGGTGCAATAAGAAGCAAAATAGCTAAGAAAGCTTTCATTTTGTCAAAAAAGTGACATCCTTCCACATGTTTACAGAAAAATAGACACCAGCATTTGTTTACTCTTTCTTTCACCTGACTAGCATATTTATTTGTCTCATTGACAAATAAAGTTATTTCGTTTTTTATAAATAGAGGAAATAATTCACTTTCAGAAAGGCTATTAGGTATATCAATGGTCGCCAGTAGCTTCTATAAAATTAGTCAGCCATGGTTGATAGTAGCTGCTAGTGGTCATAAAGGTTTTCCTCCACATAGTGACACGTGGCTATCATCTTTGACCACTTCACCGTCAATATCCACTTGAGTAAAGCCTTCAAAATCATCATCAGAGTCCAAATCAAAGAAAAACTCCCGAATAAAGGCTTTGTTGGATGTTGATGCAGCCATTTTTGCTTTTTGGTTAAAAAAAAAAAATCACAAAAAATTAACATGGGTTTCATCAATGTTACACTTTGTGTAGAGTCTAGAAGAATTCAAAATGGCATTTGAAAGTGGAAGTTTAGCTTCATTCCAACTCAGTAGTAGGTGATTTCCAGCTTAAAATACTGAAAATAACAGTTGACAAATGTTTATTTATAGCAACCATCTCAAGGCGACATAATGCACCTAGTACAGCAAAGGGAAAGCATTCTACAGCAACAATTTTCACCTCCAACGTGATAAAGGTTAATTAGTTATCCCAAGACCCAACTATTGTGTCCTAAATAGGAAAGGTTGACACACGTATAGAAAATAAGTAGTAGTTTATTCAGAAGAATAATGTGGTACACGGTTGAGAACACAGATGAATGTAATAAACAGTTAATCATTAACTTCTCTCACTCAGTAAGAGAAAGTGCTGTTTAAATTGTCTTAGGGCAGTTCATCTTTTTGGTGTGTGTGTGTTGGGGGGGGGGTATCTACTCCACAACACCAACCACCTTGAAGAATTTTCAAAATAAGCTATTTTTGCCCTTAGGCAAACACCACTAGAGACAGGAGGACAGAATCACCAGTGAGCCAGATGTGACCGCCAAGTTCACTTGTGTCAATAAGAGATTCCCATCTTAAGAATTTTTGACAATGGAAAAGTAAAATTGAGGAAGAATTGTAAACCAACATTGGTTGCAAACTCGACATCACAAATGCCTGACCTTTTTAATTACTGAGCCAAATAACTAGTAAAAGTTGCCTCTGAGAATTGATCAACCAACCAAAGTCAGGAAAACCATAGTGCCATCAAACAGGGATGGGTTAATGTCAAAGCCTGTAACTAATTGAATAAATGTATTTTTTTATCTATCCTGCAAATCCATTTTTTTTCTTATGAACAAACTGTTGACAGATCAAACAAAAACAGGTGGGGAGACTGCAGAAGGAAGGCCAAGCTGTGGAGCAAAGAGGTCAAATGTCATAAAGCAAAAAGTATTAAATGACAATTAGCATGACTTACATCATCTTCTTTGGTTCCTCCCCAGAAGTTGGCACCTCCCATATAGCTGGGAACATAAAAAACAGGTTAAGATTTAGTACATAGAAGAAAGCAAATAACATTAAAATTATTCTTAATTTACTTCACTTATTCCTATTAGCAATTGTCAAATAAAATTGAAAATTAGCATTTGATTCAGAAAACTTAAAATCCATGCCTTCAAAGTCACTACAACTCTTGTAAATTAACTTGAGGATTTAAATCTGATTAGGCATGGGATTTTTTTTAAAGAAAATTTCAATTTATTAGACAAGATTGACAATGAAATAATCAAGCATATAGAAGAAGGAGCCATCAATTATTTTCCTGGGTTTAATTAAAGAATAAAAAGAAATTTGGCTATTTTGTTTATAACCTGTGTTTTTGTAAGTGTTGAAAATAGGATATGATTAAAATAAAAACAAATTTTGCATCTCTTCATTTAAAAAAAGATATAATTTCCCTTTTTTTTTCTTGAGATAATCATTAGGGAAATTAAAAAAGAAAATGAGAAGAAAAATATTGTTGCTGTAAAGTTCTCAGCTTTATTCACTCCAGTGAGTTGGCACAAGAATATTACAGTGACCGTTCATATTTCTTACTTTCTAGTTAATTTTTATCTTCAAAAATTTAAATTTAATGTCAATCTTTATCTTGTCTTCTTAATTCCTGTTCTTTTATTGTTCTCTCTCCTTAATAATGTTTCTCTTTTTCTCATATTCTTTCACACTCAATAACTCTGTACCTTAGTGGCTTTATTGCCTTGCTTGGATTGAAATGATTATATATATATATATATATATATATATATATATGAACAATAAAAAATATTAAAAAATTAAAATCTTCAGACACACTGGGTTGTAGATTAATATTCTTTCGTTTTTATTATTTCATTTAGATTCCTCGACTAGTTTCAGCCAAAATGGCCATCATCAAGAGAAGAAATATTTCTGCTTGCTGGCAGCAGTGAACTACAGAAATGAATGTCTTGATGGAGAAAATGAACTTTTATCTGTAGTTTTCATTTGTTTTTTTATTTTTTTATCTTTTTAACATGAATCTTTTAACATTCCTTGTGTTGGTCAAACAGTCTCTTTTAAGCTGTTATTTGAGATAAGAGTTGGATTGATCTATGCTGCTCTGAAATCCCCTGGTCAGTTTGACAGTTTTATTGGTTCCTGGAGAGGGGATGTGTCTTTGTTAAGTTTGTGTGTTATTTGGTTCTTAGGGAGTGAGTATATGTGTAAGCATGTATATTGCTGTGGGTGTGTGTTATCATTTGGCTCATTAGGGAGTGAGTGAGTATGATGTGTGTAAGTGTGTATGTTCATGTGGGTGTGTGTATAAGTGTGAGGCCTCAACACCTCCGTAAGCATGTCTGTCTTGTGTGAGTGAGAAATGTGGGTAGGTTTTGATTTGTAGGGTTATATATTAATACTATCTATATTGTTAAATTTATGGTTTAGCCCGGCTGGATAGTGTGTTTTTAGACGTTGTATCCACTTATTTTCATGGAACTCTAAAATCTTTCTGTTATCTGCTTTGAACTTTTCTATTCTCTCAATTATAGTGAATTTGGCATGGGTTTTGAAATCGTGTTTTTCTAGGCAGAAATGTTGTTCTACAGGTAATAATTTTTCATGGGGAGTCGACTTAATTCGATTGCGATAATTATTAATTCTGTAGTGAAAGGGCCATTCAGATTTTCCTACATATTGTTTCTGGCATAGTGTGCATTTTAGGAGGTAAATTATGTTATGACTTCTACAGTTAGAGTCATGGTAGATTTTGAAAGTAGATTTAGTGACTGAGCTAGTGAATGAATTTGTGTGTTTAATGTGGTTGCAGCATAAACTTCTTTTGCTGTTACATGGTTGGGAAAATCCTGTTGTTTTTGTTCTTAGTTTATTACGGATTACCTTGTCCCCTGAAATGTGGTTGTTACCTATCATTTCTTTTAGGTTCTTAGGCCTACGATATGCTAGAAGGCCGGGTTCCTTAAACAATTTTTTTAGGTCTGGTTTGAGATGTAGTATTTCCCAGTGACTTTTGATTATTTAGGATAGTGGAGGCAGAGTGGGGTTGAAAGTGGTTACTAGAGGAATGCGGCTAAATTTATTTTTAATCTTGTACATTAGGGTGTCTTCTCTAGGTGTGGAAATTGCCTTATTTATTTTTTCCCTGATTAGGTGTTGTTTATAGCCACGTGTTGTGAATTGATGTTCCAGATTTTCAACGTATTTATTTAATTCTTCATTGTTGAAACATATCCTTCTGAGCATTATGTTTAGTGAGCTAGTTAATTCTTTTTGGCATTCGGGGAGGGGATCTGTAGGTAAGCTTTTATAGGTTTCTTTGTCGGCTAGCTGTTTGTTGGCCTTTTTAATGTATTCTTTGATTCTCTAGATTACTGTGGCACCCCCTTTGTCAGCCTGTGTTATGATTAGGTCATCTCTATGTGTCAGCATGTCGAGGGCTATATGTTCCCCTTCAGTAATATTGTCACGGGGCAGCTTAAGTGCTATTGTTTTCTTTATGTCATTTGCTATGGCTATTTCAAATGTCTGTATAGTAATATATATATATATATATATAAAATCATGAGAAACAGCAACAGGAAAAGATTTGGTATCAAAAGTTTGCCTTTTGCATGTAAGCAAAAATTTCTTAATTTACAAAATCCAATGAAGTCTTAATAAGCAGTTCATTACTGTTTGACATCAATTTTATAAAGGAGGAATCGGAATACCCAATATGGTCTGCTGAAATTAAATGATGGGAGCAGTTCACATTAATGCTGCTACTGGATTTATACATTTAAAATCCTCTTGTTGATGCAATTATAAAAATAAAAAAGTAATTTTTCATATTGATAAAACCATTTTGGCAAGCAAGTGTGCATGTTAAAATAAATCAATTTGTAAAAGAGCAGAGGTTGCTCAAAAATTGGATATTTTGAGCAACCAGTTCAAAGGGAAGGGGAAAATGGGTTTGTGAGCAATTAAGAGGCTTTCATTAACTGATAAAAAAGGTTAAAGTTTGAATATTAATGGAGACACACATATATGAGAAATTTAATATCAAGTAAAAAACTACTTGTAATTTTCAAAATAATTGGTTTTGAAGGGAGGCACAGGTATTTTAAATATCATTCAACCATGATGAGTTTTAATTGCCTGAAGTGGTTATTCTTCTTATACAGCCAGCCACTTGTATCCAAATATGCCTGTCAGTTAGAGCAACTAGCTAATCCTTGTTGCAGACGCTTGCTCAGGCACATTTGTGTTTGTTCAACACCCAATTTGTGGTTTATACAGCAACTATGTTGAGTTGACCTTAGACAGAGGGTACAAAATCTGGTTGATCAATAGTTTAAACAAGGCCAATATATGCATGCCTTCAATTACATTGACTTGTGATTTTCCTCTAGAACAATCATCAACAGCTTCCGAACAGTTTTGTCTAGCTAATTTTACTCACAAATTTTGGGTCAACCCCTGGTATAGTTTTAGGCACTTTCCAATAGTGCTACACGCTGGGATTGCCTCCCCAGGCTGATACTATCAAAAAGTCACCTGGTGAGATTTGAACCCTGGTCTCATGGTCAGAATGATAATGTTCTAACCCCTCAGCTATGTACCTATATTCTTATACAAAAAACTGACAATTTTGCAATGACTTCTTCATAAAACACAATCTCTGCAGTTAGTAATTGGTGGACATTATCAGAATCTTCTGAATCTTAAATATTACATTTCTTTTAAAGCAAAGACTTAAAAAAAAATAAAAAAATAAACAGCTTCTATGAAGCTGACCTAAACTCAGAAAGACAAAATTGCAATATTGTAAAAACATACTAACCTGGGAATATTTAAGATCACAATGCCTTGTAAACTGGGGAGTGGAATTCGTTGACCATCACATTCAAGCTGGACTCTTTGATCCAAATTTTTAAAAGTTCGTTGCAAAATTTCTTTTCCCCCTAAAACACTATACCACATGAAATTTTTTGTTCTGCTTCTGCAAAAGATACAGAGAGAATAGACAAGTTAGAATGATAGTAATAAAATATGGACACAACAAAATTTGCTTTGACATTTTATTGAAAGACATAATATTTATAATGTTAATCATTATCATATTTTGTCTACCTTAGCAACATACTAAAAGGATTGGCTTATATAAAGACAAATATAAATGCAATCAGATAGAATAAATCAAAACTTCAAAAGCCAGCTTTGAATTGAACATTATTTGGGGAATTATAATTTGGAGAAGTGAGTACTGAAAGTTCAACCAAAATAAGACCAAAATTTTTTTTGGTGAGTTTAAAGCTTGATGGCTAAGAACTTTCCAGCATCTCCTTGAACTTCATATACTTGCTGTTGTTAACATATTTTGCTTATTCTTCAGTCCTTGTCAGGTGTATTTCATGAGATAAAAAAGAAAGCTCTTTTTTCTTGGGGAGAAAAAAATGCAATGGTAAATGGTCATTAATTACCTTCTCTTAGATAAGATTCAAATAATTGAAAGGGAGCATATCATTAGGGGAGTGAAGAAGCTGAAGGAGGTGCCATGTGATGGCCTGTTGAAATGTGTATGGGCCTATGTTGTTTTCTTTAGTAAAGTAGATGATGGGAAATTGTTTGGGTTTTTGGTGTACCTCGTGCTGTATAAATGGACTGGTTCAATAGCCTTTTTAATAATCAGTTTCAATCAACCTTTTTGTTTTCTTCCTAGAAGATACACCTGCCAAAAGTTGAAGAATGGATTACCTGAAATGTGTTAACAACAGCATGTATACAACGAAGAGGTTCAAATGTCCAAACAATATTGGGTATGGATTTTGGTTGACCAACTGAAACTAAAATTGACAATTTTTTTTAAAAACAATCAAATAAAAAAAAAAAAATAAAAAAAAAAAAAAGGCACTTCTACAGACAGACTGGCCTCCAAATTTGGCAAAATTTCTACATTGATTAACCAAAAGCTTTTTTAACAAATATTTTTAAACTTCTTTTCATTAGAAATGTAATAACATATCAATGAAGTCTTTCAGTGATATTTATCATATAAAAACCATGCAATCCATTCACTGAACGGATTCTTTTACATTTTTCTATTTAGATCTACCTGGAAATGTTATACAGAATAAATCAAATATATTATCCTCTTGTGGTGGCTCACACTTGAACTTGTAACATTTAGTTGCAAAATCAGTTCTTTCAGTCACAGTTTCAATTTTTTTTTTTTTTTTTTTTAACATTCTCTGCTGTATCCAAATGTTGATATCATTCAATGAAAGCAATAAAAACACAAAGCCAAAGTTTGCCTGTTGAATATGGAATAAAAAAAATCATTGGAAGACAATATAGCAACCATTTTGGGACTTTTATTTGATATGTTTATATGAATAAAAACATATCAAAAAAGATAAGTTCAAATGTTAATCACAAACCTGCATTTCTCTGGATGTTCTTCACGTTTCAAATGGAAATCCAAAGAAATTTTTGCATCCAATCCAATGCCAAAATAATTATTCATAACACACCGTTCCGTGTACTCTTCTCTGAAATACAAAGAAATTTTTTTTTATTTCATCTATAAACAATGTTTCTTTTAACTTACAACAACCAAAGAAAACTTTTATATTTTGAAAAATAATCAGTTACCATTCTAAAACCTATGAAAAGAATGTTTCTTCTGTAAATTGAAATTGGTCATCATTGAATTCTTTAAACTTAAAAATTTAAATTGGATTTTATTCAATCTGATAATCTGTGCTAATCTGTCTAAGAATGCAGGAGAAAAACAGTAAATAAGCCTATGTGTTCAGGAAAAAGGATTATGGAGTTGTGCAGATTGTCTAATATTGGCCAAGTGAGGGAGGGATGATCACAAATCCAATGAGAAGGATTATGTTTTCAGAAAGAAGGACTATTCAGTAGGACAGGTCAATTTTGGAACCGTGGTATTGCACTCAATTTGAAATAAATAATGACAAAATATATTTTTTCTAATCCTTATCATTTTTTGAAGAAACAATTTTAAAGATTAAGTTTCAGTTCAAAATTCAAAATTGAATGCTTGTCAAATAATTCTACACCCTTATGGAAACCAAGGGTCTAAATGTAACAATATGATTTCTCACACATCCTTAGAAGATAAAAGGAAAAAGAATCTATCTATTTAAGCCAATTTAATGACTAAAATATTTTAGAAATCCTGTCTCCAGCCAACCTTTGAATTGGCAAACAAATTTTTTTTAGTGATTTTAGATAATCATAAAAGTAGAGTCCTTTGAAAAACTGAGCACCCAAAAGCTGAATGGTTGGTCCGAATTTCCAGAACACAAGTGGATAGATAGGGGGTGATTGGTCCTCCATCCAGTATCCATATAATGAGTCGGTAAGTGACTAAATCAGCAGTCAGTGATGCAGTCAGGCAGTGAGTGTAAGGGTCTTTTCCATGGTCAAGGTTTGCATTCTTGCAGCCAAAGGAAAACATTGCTGATTAAGTGAGAAATCGTATTGTTTGCTACTTCCCAACAAGTCTCTTGAAAAGCGAACCGGGTGAATATGCATGAAGCCAACCTTGGATGTCATTACAGCATGGTGAAGTGACATGCAAAGACATATGGTTACATAAATGTCAATTAATAAAATGTTTTCCAACTGCAACATTTGCCTCGTTCTCAATAAATTAAAAAGAAATAAATCAGAACTATGAATAATATAAAAATATACATTTTGTACAGGCAAAATGGAGATTAAATACAATACTGTATTTAGGTTGTATCCAGTGATGAAAATCGATTCATGTTTTTCACATATGGAATTTAGGTTTTGGTATTATTTTTCAGTGGAAAAAAAAAACTAACTGGTGTTTATTCAAAATGTTGTGTTTGTTTATTTCCATGGAAGAAACTATATTACCATTTAGGTAGGTAATACTGTTTGTTTCTTTCTATTTTTTCTTATTTCAAATTTTCCTTTGAAATTTTATTAAAATAGAGTAATGTTTGCACTTGTCCTCTTCACAGGAAGTTAATGTTAATTCTAGGCTTGTTTTTCTTTTTTCTTTGTTTAATTTGAATTAGTTCATGTCCCAATTTTCTAAATTTAAATTAATTGAAAAATATAAATTTACCTCTGATAATCTTCACTTCTCTGGTAAATAATTTTGTGATATTTTCCTCCATATTTATCACGTATGCTAGTTCAGTTTTTAAATGTATACACATTTTGGAATTTCAGGTTCCCATAGAAGAAAGGGAAAATTTAAAAACTCAAAGAGAGAAGACAGGACCAAAAGGCAGTTTCCAACTTGGAACTACTGACAAAGATGCTGTCAAATATCAAAAATGTGCAACTGAAACAAAGAGATTAGACAAGTAGATTGAAAGATAGCAACAACATGATTCTATGCACATTGCTTCTACATTGGATCTTTTTCCACCAATGTATTCCAGTGAAGAAACAACTGATGATAGACTGTCTCTCTGGCTCAAAACAAAGAGAACTTACAATCTTTTAAAAGTCCCTAGATATGCCCTGGAATGTATTAAGGGTAATTTATCTTCCAACCTTGGGGCATGGCATGCTAATGGCTTTTTATTAGACTGACAACATATGTGCTTTCTTCATCAAAGCCTTAACATAAAGGACATTATCACGATAAGTCAAAAATCAACAGGGAAAAGGCAAGAGTAAAAGTAATAACTCATCAGAAGCATTTTCATAACCATGAAAATAATCTAATGTTGGTGCAACTGGTGTTATTCTAGCAGATGAGGTTGCTGCTGTTTTAGAAGAATTCAACAATGCAAATTCCATTAAGCCAGTTCTTGTAAACAATACCAGTAAAAAGACTGGTTGTAAGGCAGGGCTTGTTACAGCTCTGGCAAAAAAAAAAAAAAAAAAAAAAAAAAAAAAAAGAAAGTTGCATACCATTGGCTGTTCACTGTATCAAAATGAACCTCCTTTTATAGCTGTTTTTAAATACATTGATGGAATTACAAGAAGCCCTACTACTTTTACTGGTCCTCTAGGGAAACTTTGCAAAATGCATACCAGAATTTACCCCAGGTAGAATTTAACACTATCAGTAGTTCTCTGGATAACTTATATCTTACTGCAGTCAATAGGTTTTACTGGGTCAATAGAAGATTTAAGTGGTGACCAGAGACTGTTCTTCAATATGCAGTAGAAATTTCTTTCTTGGAAAGTGAACCCTAAATTTGTTGCTTGGAAAATTGGGTCTCTAAATCAAGCAAGCTGGCTAACGTTTGTCATCAGGTTAATGTTTATGGATCAGAGGTGTTTATACACCAGAACTCTATGATAAATTGTACAGCCTTAGAAAATTTATAATTGAAATATAAGCAGTCAATTGATTTGAAATTAAAATGGATAAACACATTCTATAACAAACAACTGTAGATCTTGATCCAGAAAACAAATTAACAGTTGGCCAAAATACAGAATGTTGCATTAAAAAAAATTTACAGTACAAAAATATTTTTTGTTTCAAAAGTAGTGAACCAGAGAAGATATTAAAAAAAAATATATATTAAACTCAAAAACAATACACTAGTCAAATTTGATTAACCTTTCATAAAATGGAGGTTTTGAATCTGGGCTTAAAGAAGGTTTTTCAAATAATGAACTACAAAGGTTCTAATGAAAGGGACAACACTGGAGTTGCCAAATTCGCAAGGAGTGGAAAGAGCAGTTGAATTCACTACTGAAGCTTCACAAATTGTATAGGAGCAAGAAATAAGGAACAAACACATTATTACTAAATCATTGTTCCATCAAATAAAACCTTCATTTACTTCAAAGGCAAATTATACTAGACAATTTAGCTATATTATGATGTAGCATGTTATACACTGCAATAGTTTTAGTGTGATTTTCAATAAACAATGTAAATTTAAAAGATTTTGTCTTACAATTTGTGCCCAGCAGTATTATGCTGTTACATACACTTTTATCTATTTTTTTGTTTTTATTAATTATGACTTAAAAAATGGTGTAAGATTCATTAGACTTTTTTTTGTAATCTTTTATTACAGTTTTCACATATTGAATACAGTAAAAAATATTGCATATTTTGCTTGTGGTGATTTATAATTAGAACTCTGGCTTTAGTCAATTGAAGAGGCAGACACAAATCCAGTAAGAAGAACTGTGTGTTCAGGAAGAAGGATTATGTAGTTGTGTTGATTGCCTAATATTGATTGAGGGATGAATACAGTGAAAATATACTAGATTTTCTTAAAATGGAAAGAAAATATTAACCAAAACAGTGTATAAAGAATGTGATGTATCATATTATAAACAATTTCCCACACAATTTCATATAAAAGCTACTAAAATCTTGTCTCTGGACAATTAAAAATGGCAACCAAATAACTTACATGTCTTTTTTTATATCTATAAAAAATGTCTACTGGACAAATATATCTGATAAACATCTGAATGGGCCATCATAATTTTGGTCCTTCAAAAATATGGAAAATTTTAGATTCCATAAAGGAATAATTTTTCTTTAACCCTTAAATAAAAATTAACTTTTATCCACCCCTCCCTAATTTTTATACCTTTTTACAAATTCAGATGTTAAGCACCTTAAGAGGTTAAAGGATAATAAGTTGAAAGAATTAAAATCCCTTGCTTTTTTTCAAAACTGGGAAAAGGGCAGACATCTGTATAAAAATTCTTGATATTCTTCCATATCTCACAAACATTCTAAATTCCAGATTTTAATTTGGGATGCTCCATAGCTTTCAACGATTTCAATATAAAATTGTCCAAATTTATTAAATGAAGCATTTTCATTCTTAATTTAAGACAAGTTATCATTCATATTTCTTCACAATAATCAAGATTATAATTAAGCAAGCAGCATTGGTTGGAAATAAAGGAGTAGCCTTCAACACGATTTAAACCTGCAACCTTTATCCTTGGTAGCTTGCCTAACAGATAACACTTTATTAAATTGGCTGCAGAGGGCTACGAGCAGTTCAAAATTTGTCATATACTTATACATACCTTGCCAACCCAATTTTCTCTATCCATAGTTTGTTTTTTATTTTAATACTTTTAAATTTCTTAGTTGATTTATTTTGATTTATTAGAGTTTATTTTAGCTTTCATATTGTTTTTGTTACAAAGTATTGTGATACCCCCCCCCACCTAAAAATAACATGAAAGGACACATGCCACAGTGGATAAAGGCGTTGATTAGATCCAGTGACAGGACCCAAAGAGTGTGAGTTCAATACCTGGTTAAGGTGGTGGAGAACTTGGAGAGGGGAATTAACAGGAGATAACTAATAACTGACATCCATTAGACATGGCACGTGGAACTAAAACAGTCTACCCCAGTGAGCAAAATAAAGGGTTCAGTTTGACATTCCAACCACCTGAAGAAGACCGTAGCATACAACAGCCGAAACATTGTGATAAAGAAGGCAAAAAAGATGAGGACAATAGCCTGAATAATGAAAGCCTGAAATTGATAATAATAATAATAATAAATTATATCATTGTACAAGAATCTTACCAAACTGACTGATGAATCAAATGTAAATAGTTTGATTGGAAAAAAAGAAAAGAAAAAAAAGCATTTTGCAATCCATATTAAAGTGAGTTGAAATTTTTTAGTAAGTACCAAGTAGTGTGAGATGCTTACAGAAGGATTTCTTCCTCAATCAATGGGGAAGCAGCAGCACACAGAGCATCCGCGTTGGCCAGCAACACTTTGCTGATGAAGCTACCACCTGCCAGACGGCCAGCTATTGAACTGCTGATTCCTAAAAACAAAACAATTTGGCACACATTAATCAGGTGAAAATCTCAGACAACATTTAATCATTTTTTTTCTCCTTAAAAAAGTATTTTTCTTGTTTTAAACAATCATGCATTATTATAAATTAGGTGCTCAATTACATAGTTCACTTTTAAATTTTCTTATATGGTGTAAGATTTTATTATGCAAATCAATAAAATTGGAATTGTATATGAGAAATACACCTTTTGAATTTCAGCTTATAATATCAGGTTTTATTAGAAATATTTATAATAAGTCTATTAGAGTATGTAAGATTTTATTATGCAAGTCAAATCTTGTTCATCAGATTGTAAATAAATATAAATAATATTATAACTATTGATATTTATTTTTTTAATTTCAGCATAAAAAGATTGTCATGGGTCATAAGAAAGATATAAGCTCAAAATAGAAACAAGATAAACATTTCTTGAATGATGAGAGCATAACATTGGAATTTGTGAAAAAGATAAACAGAGACAAAAGAAGAATCCAAAACAGAAATTGAAACATTGGAAAGATAAAAACAAGAAAAAATGGCTTTAAGAATATCACAAAATTAGAAAAAGTAAAAAATAAAAAGGTAATAAACAAGAAAAATGAATTGACTAACAATAAAATATTTGAAGATGTTTAGTGTACAGGATGTAAACAGAGAGGAAAGATGTAGAACATTAAGAATGTTTATTAAAAACATGAAAACAATCAAATTACCACTTTTAAGTAAACATCACAAAAATAAACATGTAAGTGAATAAGTAAATGAAAACCGATTTACTAATTGTTGAATATATAGCCATATGAGATGGACTTGCTGGTTGGGCTAGAGGTCTGATCCGTCATAGAAATATTCAAAAGAGAGTAGGTAGAATAATGTCTTACATTAGTATTATAGGCAGTAAAGTTATAGGTATCTTCAAATTTGATGATAGCATCAAGGTAAATGAAGAGAATTATTGTAAGTTCTTAAAGAAGACATTTTTCTGAGTGGTTCAGGTTAGAACCAAAATGATTTACCTCCACATTTTGCAAAGCTGACGATTGTCTATATTGCTAAAAATATTTTCAAACACATCAAATTAATGGCTATCAGATATTAATCCCATAGAAATCTTATGGTCCATCATTAAAATAGATCTATATGAGAATTGAAAACAATATTCAAGTAAAGAAAACCTTTGAGAAGTAAATTGCTGCAAGTAATGTTAAAATTGAAAGAGTAGAAAAATTAACAAAATCAATGACAGGAAGATTAATAATGGTTATAGAATGTCAAAGAGATCATATTAACATGTGTAATAATATAATTTATTCAGATGTTTGGGATAATGTATTAATCAAATACACATTTCTAGGGCCTACATTTTTTGATTATTTATACATGAAAATTTATGCTGCACTATGAATAATAAAACATGATCCCTAAAACAAGGTTATCAATATTTTTAACAAGGATAGATATTAGTAGCTGGTTATATTATATAGCTCATGTAAGTAACTACTGAAAAGTTTTGCTAACATTGGTTAAGACCAATTATATCAGAAAAGAATTTACCTGTATAATAAAATCTGATAACATATACAAAATTTAGTTAAAAAAAAAAAACCCCAAAAAACATACACATTTTGGTTGACTTGAAGGTCTTATAGACATAAACAAACTAAAAGATTTGTACTAACTCAAAACAAGGAAAAAAATATTTGTTATTGAAATTAGAAGCAAGATTGTCTAATCAGATTCCAGAATGGATCCTGGAAAATGTTAATATATGAATTGATAAGATATACGCTAATTAGACAATCTTCTAGAAAGCTGCACATAGCCTCAATAATGGAAGCATTTTAACATTGGTGGTCTTGATTTGAAGTCTTGTCTTGGTTTGACAACTTGAGAGTAAGACTAAGATTCTCTTCTAGTTTTTCCTTTGTTATCTTACATATTCAGTTTAAAAAAAATAATTTGTGGTGTGAGGGGGTGGGGAGAATTTTTTTTTAGTTTTTGTCAGAATAGTCAAAAAGGCATTTGAATAATTCATCTCAGCAGCTAATAGACATTTTAAAAAGATATATCAATCAAGATGCAAGATAAGAAATTTTATTTTACCTGGCAGCATGTGACATGGCTGAGTTGCTGTAGGTGAAACTGGAATGTCTTTGACTGGACTATTGTTTCGAATTTTGCTAAGATTGGAGCCAACACTGTGAGACTTATTGAACATACTCATACTACTAATCCGTCGAGTTCGAGGACCACCAGGTGAGCGGGAACCTTCTGGAAGAACCAAAGGTTTTCAAGAAATGCAGACAGAAGAAAAAAATTACTGAGCAAAAGAATTATGAAATGATTAATTTGGATTAAAGACTTCATATTTCATTTTTGGGGAATTCATTTTCTGTCTATATCTCTAAGATGAGGTATTATGATTACTTACATTATTTGGACTGTTATCCTTGCTGTCTTCACTGCCATATTCACAACATTTCGGCCATTGTATGCTCTGGTGTTCTTCAGGTTATTGGAATTTTGAACTGAACCCTTTATTTCGTCCACTGGGGTAGTTTGTTCTAGTTCCATGTTCCATATGGCCCAGTGGATAAAGACATTGGTTAGATTCAATGACTAGACCCAAAGAGTTGTGAGTTCAATACCAGGCCACAGCAGTGGTGAACCAAATTTGGAGAGATGAGTTAATGGGAAATAACTGAAACATCTGGAAGAGGCACGGCACATGGAACTAGAACAATCTACTCCAGTGGACAAAATAAAGGGTTTGGTTGGAAATCCCAATCACTTGAAGAAGGCTGGAGTGTACAACGACTGAAACATTGTGAATATGGCAATGAAGATGAGGATAACATTACGAATAATGTAAGAATTCATTTTGTAGTGGATTGTTTCAAAATGCTATTCACTATGTACACAGACATCAAGTCTGTTGTTTACAAATTAAAGTTTCATCAAAGAAAGAAAAAAAAGAAATTTTCACCTTGAAGGTTTCTAAATTTTAGAAAGTTTGAGTAAGATTAAAATCTGTTATTTACCAGGAATAAACTATTCATTCTTTACCAAAAGTTTTTGCTGTTAAAGAAATGTCATATATAAAACTTTACATTTAATAAGCCTCAAGTCATCTTAGATGCTTGAAATAAAGATGGACTATATGAGTTGATACTGAAAATTTAACAAGCCAACCAAAAAATCCTTCCACAAAATTTCTGATGTTTGGTCATTTGATCAGATTTTGAAAAGTGGATTGGGCCAAATACTTTTCAGTGTCTCCTAGTTCTATACTAGAAATAAAATTTAACCTATGAGGATACTTAATAATGATTAATATATTTAATAAATATACCATGAAACTTTATAAAAACAGTAAAGATTTTAGTCCAATTAATAAACTTGTAAATATAAGCAACTCTAATTAGCTTCTTTTTTTTTTTCAGAAATAGTTTGTATTTTAATTCTCAATCTAGGCTAGGGACATTTGTAAACCAAGAGAAACAACTGTCAAAACCTGACAAAAGAATGACAAAATCTAATGGTAAAATTATGACAGAACATAATGAAAAAAGCAGTTTAGTAGATGGAGGATTATGGTTACTTATGGATGCAAAGTAAAACCTGAAAGAAAAAAAAAATAATAATGTCAATATCTTTCCAAAAGCAGCCATCAATTCCTTGAGAAAATTAAATTCTATACATACAGCTATGTAAATTGCTAAAGTTTATCTTAACATAATCCTATTGCTTTGAAGATAAATAGAAAATCTGTCCCATTAAAATAATCTAATTCTTACATACAAATGAAAATCATGCTCAGTATTGCTTAACTGCAATGATTAGAGAAGCAGAAAACAATCCTAAATATGTTATTAATACAGGACCAAATTAATGAAATTGTTTTTTTGTCAAAATAAAATGTTACTGTCTAAATTCATTGCAAAAAACAAAATAAAATTACTCACCTCCTTCCGGTGGAGATTCATAACTGCACTTAGAATTTATATCTGTTGAGACATCATAACATGACACTGTCAAAAAAAAAAAAAAAAAAAAAAAAAAAAAAAACTTGAAAATCATTGAGAAATAGATTTGCATTTTAGCAATTACTGCATCAATAACATTTGTTTTTTTAAGGATGTTAAAAATGTTCACTGCTGCATTGCTATAGCATTTTTGCCTGGCTGTGCAGGCCCATTTTGAGAGAAAATAGAAAATTGCCATTTACTGGAAATAAATAACTATAAAGAAGCTGATGGAAATTCTTCATGAGCACTGCTGTTTTGGTTTAAATTGGATACTCTACAGTACAGACTAAACTAAATGACATCCCTCAACAAACAATATGATAAAGATATACCAGAAAGCAGGTCAGATTTGTGTGCTACTATGTCTACACTGGCTTAGAAATAGCATTAAATGATAGTTTATAATGCAAGGGACTGACATTTGATATATATATCAACAGAAGGCAATATATGGTTTATAAAGATGTATAAGTGTATTGACGATGGTGAAAGTGTTAATGAAAATTATATTGAATTTTATATTTCAGTCAGTTGTTAGTAGCATTTGTCATCAAGCGTTTAACAATATAAAGATGAACTCTTAGTTCCTGATATATGAGAAGTCCCCCTGTTAACAGAAGATAAAAAAATTCTGGGGTTTATTTTTCCAGGGCAGTCATTTTAAGAGAGATTATCTCGGGTTTTTTTTTCTCCTTTTGATAAACCCAAATCATGGTGAAGGAAAATTAAGGCTGTAGATCTTTTGAAAAAGCACTTATAAGAAATAATATTTGTAATTGATAAGCAGAATGTTAAACTGTTCAATTCCATTTTATACTTTCTTTTCTATTTAATCCATATTACAGAATAAATTAAAAAAAAAAACAAAAAAACAAATGTTCAAGTAACCTGCAAGTTTTAATTGTGTTGGATGTGAGGCTGAAGTGGGTTTTGACTCTGAAGTGTAGACAGCAAATGTAGGCACCGATTGAGATGCTTCCCGACTCTGAACAGGACTGGATGGATTGGTTTTGTATTGTTGTTGCTGCTGCTGCTGTTCACTGAGTATGTTGGAATCGTCAGTGGCCATCAAACAGGAATCAGCATCATGTACTTGCATCAGACCTCGATGAGATTCAGTCTGTGCATTTTGTTCATCCACAGCTGCAATGCAAGTAACAAGAAAATGGTATAGACAAAAAGGATTTGGCTAAAAAAAAAATAAAATGTAAAATATTTTTATATTCTAATGTCTACTATTTGAACAAGTTTAATATCAGGGCATGTTGTTAAGAAACTAACCTTTCTCTGTGTGTTCTATAATCTGTCGAATGGCCTTTTTGAGACTATTGGCACGAGACATGAGTGCATCTCGAGGTTTAAATATCAGCTATAAAAGAAAGCAGAATCATTTAGGCAATAATTGTAGTGGAACATAAAGCAAGAATCATAGAATGAACTAATTTTACCATTTCTCATAATTTCTAATTTATTATTTTTGTTTTAATATAAAAAGATTAAAAATTCCCTTTATTTTGAGGATGGAAACTATATTAATAGCAAAAATCCAACAAGATTGATCTTAAATTTACAAAGTTTAGAATATTTCCTTTTAAATAAGAATTTATATCTACAGCCTTGAGAAGCTTGTGTTTACCAGATTTATATGTTGCTAAAATAATAAAAAAACAAAACAAAGGATCACTTATAAGGAAAAGAGAAATTGGAATTATTTGTTACAGGATAAAAAGGATTAAAGTTTAAAATTTACAACAAATTAAAAAAAAATTTCTAACTTTTTTTGACTGAATAAACAATAGTGTTTCATTTGTAAATAAATTGGATGGAGATAACCAAATTTAAAGCTGGACTTTTATTGAAAAAAAAAAAAGAAAAAAAAAGGATTTAAAATATTAAAAATTTATACCTTCATTTTTTTTTTGGTTCCAATAAAATCAAATTTCTACAATTTCTAAATAAAGCAATTATCAATTATGCCAATTAAACATAATTTACATTTTAATTTTTTAAAAATTGAAGAACTCACATCACTTACATGCTACAATTAATGTAAATCTGTTCAAGTAATAATATAAGAGAATGCAAAACATTTAAGAAACAGATTATCATTTAATTTTAAACTACACTTTCTGAAACAGAAAAGACACTTACGCCTTTATTTTGTTTGATGGCAGTTATCTCCCCTGACACGACATCCCGATCAGGAGAGCCAACTTCTGCTTGTTCAGCACCGGCACCATTCAAATAGCCTTCCTGGGCTGTTACCTGACAACAATATCAGAAGTGAAATTAACTATATAATAATACGCTTGTACCTACCACACATGTTAGTCACACAAAGGCAGATAATTTGTGCAACAGCATTTTTTTTTTTTGTGTAAATGGAGACACGTGTAGCAAAATAAAAGCCCCTATAAATAAATAGCATGCAGATATGGATTTCAGTTCAATTTTAAATATTACTGGACCCCATCTGACTGAATCGTAGGGTGTAATTCTAAATAAAATTTTAATTTAACACCACAATTGGAAGTGAACATTCAGCATGTTTGTTTACATTAGTTTAGGCACAATTTTGTAAGATTAAAAACCACAATTTTATAAGATCTTTTGGTAAAATTGCAGATTAAGTCCCAGAAATCAATTGTAAGAAAATTTCCATTCTGGTGTAAATTTTCACGCTTATTTTGAAAGTAACAATAAAAGTTTGTGGAAGAAAACCGTTTTGGAGTTATCGGCAATATAAGTTCAGCCTTATTTGCATTGTGGCTACAGTCCAGCTGCCATTACTGGCTTTGTTTACATACGTTTGCCTTGAGTAGTCATCCATGGAAGCTTCACTTGTCTTGATTACTGCATAATGAGCAAACTTTAAATATGCACAGAAATCAAGACGAGTAAGAAGAAGATCTGTAAAAAGGTCATTAACTAAGTAAGTTTCTGCACATTACTACTCAAGGCAAATATATGTAAACAATGCCAGCAATGGTGGCTGGGCTAGACACAAATAAGGCCAAACTTATATTGTCGATAACTCCTAAATGATTTTATTCATTAACAATATAAGTTCAACCTTATTCGTGTCTACAAGGATGGAATGACAAAATTGAGGACACCATTCTTAGATGTATGATAATGGAGATTATTGACAGGGTGAAGCAGGATGACTAGACCTGCAATGTCTGGTGCATAGAGGAGCAAGACATGAACATCTGGATTGATACAAGTTCCCTGGCAACAGGTATGGCCCTAGAGAAGAACAGGGCCATTTTACAAAACATGTTGGCTTAGACCAATGAATGATGCCCAGCATATAAATCTATCTGAGCTGGATGCAGCATTGAAAGGCCTCAACCTTGCACTCCAGTGGCAAGCCAAAAAGTTACATATGAAGACAGACTCCTTGCGTGCGTGCGTGCCACTTGCTCTCTAACACATTGACTGGTAAAACCCGGGTATGCACGAAAGCATCAACTGAGATGCTGCTTTGACAGAGACTGAGCACATTCAAAGATCTAGTTCGGGAGTATGAACTGTCCATTGATGTAGAGTTGGTCAGGTCAAATCAAAATCTGGCAGACAAGATGACAAGAGTGCAACAGACATGTTTCAGAATGGCTAATGCAGGAATTGAACCAGTTAATCAGACCTGTGCCATCTCATTGAGCTCCAGTTAAATCATGAACATTCACCAAGACAGCGGACATACTGGGGTTCAGCATACCACATATTTTATAAACAAAGTTAACCCCTTTATGCCCAAGAGGGAGTTCTGCAATTAGGTCTTGTGTGGAATGCAGAACATTGGACCCAGCCCCAGTCCGCTGGCAAAGAGGCAAGTTGGAAGTGGAAAGCACCTGGCAACAGCTGAGTATGGATGTAACCCACTACGGTAACTGTCACTATTTGTCCTTAACAGATTGCAGTTTGACCAGATTCACCATATGGTGACCATTGGCTTGACAAAATTTGTTTGGCATCATCCATCAGTTGGAGTTCATTTTTTATGAAAGCGGGCCCCCTAGTGAAATACTCATGGATAATGACACTGCATTCTGTAGTAGGGAATTTTGTGCTTTCATGGAGTTCTAGGGGCCTTGCCTAAGATTTAGATATGCTAATATCGCGGGTGGCAACAGAATAACAGATCAGTGTCATAGTAGTGCGAACAGAATTGCGGCCAGAAGGAATTGTTCCATTGCAGAAGCCACATATTGGTATAACATCACCTCTAGGAATGTCACATTGCCACTTGCCTTTGCAGTCAACAGAATTTAAATGTATGAAGTTTGCCTCAAAAGGATAGATGTGAGGCCCCTCCAGAGCCCAAGAAAGGTCACATAAAGTATGAATTGGGAGATCATGTGTACGTGAAACCCAAGCAGATCAGATGCACAACAACTTTTGGTATAGGATGCATCACTGGAATCATTATTCCAGTCTGTCCTAGTTAACAACCTCCCATGACATGTTAAGGATATCCGTCCCTATTCTGGTTCAAACATATCATCAAATAGCGAGGAAAAGGTGTCTGAGAGTGAGGGTGAAATAATCTTTGTTGTAAAAAGAAAAAAAAGAAGAGACTGCCTCCAACAATGAGGAGGAAGGGGTCCTCAAAGAGTTGAACGAGCACGATGCCCCTTCCTCAAGACTAGCTGAAAATGAATAAAACTAGCTGAATCCTGCCACATGTATGATTTAGATATCAGAGAGGAGTGTAATAAATGGGAGTAAGTGTCCCCAATGTTGGATTCATTTGTGACAGCCACCATTTCTGATTTCTGTGACAGCCACCATTTCTGATTTCGATGACAGCACACACGTGGATGCTACTTTGAATAATCAACGATCACTTTTTACCTGGTCAATGACATGTGAAGAAGTAGTGGATTTTTGTTGAGACAGTGATTCTTTGGGGGAATCAGTTACTACATTTCTTATATCACGTAGGTGTTTTTATAATTACTGAATCAATCATTCTTAAAAATGAAAGAGAGAATAAGTCAAAAATCAGCAAGAGCAAGAGAGCAACAGAGAAGATGACGGACAACCGTTACTGGTAGAAGAGAGGCAAGCAATCCCTGACTGTTATCGAGAACAACTGCAAGAAAGGAGGAATGATATGAAACAAAAGGAGAATGAAATTTATCTACAGAATATGAGAAACAGATAGAAGAAACAACATGAACCCGGAGGAGAGAGAAGATTATCTACAGAATATGAGAAACAGAGAACAACAGTGAAGAGATGGCATAAATGAAGATGAGACTTTACAATTCTATATTGCTTATGGAAGTGCTGTAACAAATGTATTTCATAAATACTTTCATACAATAACTTAAAATAAACTTATTAAATATGAAATAAAGTACATTTTTTTATTAATCAAAATAGTGCAAATTAAACAATTTTTATTAACTGTTAAATATTCATTGGACAATATTCAATTTATTCATGAAATTTTTCATGGGTCAAGCTAGCTATTCAGTGATACAATAAAAATTTCATAATTTCTAACACAATTTCATTCTTTTCTTCACAAGTATAATTTTTTGAAACCTTTAAAAGAAATTCAAAAAAAGCAAATATTATGCCACTTTCCAATTTTGTAAACTTATCACCTCTATTTTTTTATTCTTAGAAAAATAGATGCCATTTGTTTTTATTACAACAACCAAAATAAGGTATTAACCATTTCATTCTTATATAAATTCTTATCAAACATCTTTAGTTTTTTTCCTTTTTTCTTTCTTTCAATGCTAAAGATAATAAAAAGAGATATTGCTAATCATTACACTTATCTAATGTTCACATTGTTTTCTGTTACAATATTTACACCCAGAGATAAAATTTCTTCTCACGAGTACAGACTGAAACACTAAAATACCTATCAGTGTGTGTGTGTGTGTATGTTTCTTCTTAAATTTGAAGGAACAGCAGTAAGTTTATCTCCTACTAAACCCTTAACAGTTAAATCTTGTTATTAACAATCTACTGAGGACGTGGAGTAGATGTAACCATAAAAATATGAATATTGTATCTTCTTAGATTTGACTCCCAAAGCAAACAAGAATAATTAGTGTATAAACGTGATTGTATATTTTGGTGAATTTAATGTGCGTGTATACATATTCTAATTAAGAATAAAAGTTGAATCCTGGGAAATATATTTTTCTATATAGTCTGAAGTCATATGATCTATTCACATTTTTGCTGTATTGCTCCCATGTGAATACTACTGCCAATAATATTTGTAACTATTACTAATATTTTGTTTATTTTTCTATTATGCCACAAGGTTTAACAATATTATGTGTGTGTGTGTGTGTGTGTGTGTGTGTTTTTAATTAAAAAAATTCCATTTAGTTTATATTTTCCAGAATTAAAGAAAAAGGAAGACTTTTTGCTGAATGTATTGTTGAGGAGTCAATGAATGAAGACATTATCTATAAATAAAAAATTTTTTCAAATGGACAAGTTAATTTTTTGCCTATAAACTCAAAAACAAAAGAATCTGTAAATATCGATGAAAATCTAAGCAACATCAATTCTGTGGTTTTTTGATCTAATTGAGAGATAAATATTGTTTTTTTTTTTTTACTTACCATGTGGGCTTCTTCATTAAGAGTTTTTAGAAGACTTTCTAATTTCTCATTCAATACATTGCACTACAAAATAATTATGTTGTGGAATCAGTTGAAAGTTTCAAAATATTCAACAAATAAATTCTTTAATTAAGTTAATAGTGAAACAAAATCTATCAATGCAGCAAATTGGAAATTTTCAAGTTTATATTGAATATAAAATCTATGCAGAACAAATCAAACATGTTTAGATTCAGCTGTATTCATCATGAACAGCTGTTATCCTCATGAAAAATTCCTTCTAAAAGAAACATTCATGTGTAAGGTCAGGGAGATTACTAAGATATTCAATGTGAAGAATTTGGGATATTACTAAGACATTTAATGTGAAGAATTTGGGATATTATTAAGACATTCAATGTGAAGAATTTGGGATATTATTAAGACATTACTAAGACACTCAAAATCAAAAAGGGAATTACGGCATTTAATGTGAAAACATAACTGAAGACAAAATGATCATCTGAAATGAAGCAAATAAATCCTTATAAAAATATATGATAAGAATAAATTATACAAAAAAAATAACTGCAAACCTTGGAGGATATTGAGGTTTCTCCTTTTTCTGTGTCTCCATCATGGGCTTGCCCTACTTTACATACAAACTCTTTTACAGTTTCACACAAAACTCTGAAAAATAAGTTTTATAAATAGATAAGAAATTTCATTTTCTTGATTTCACTAGAATTATAAAAATAACTTTTACTTGTTGCTTAAAAAACAATTATAAAATTATATATTATTTTAGATTAAAAAAATGGCAGAAAGTTCAGGTTACTCCACATTCAAAATGTACACATTAATTCAAAGTTAAATTCTGAATACAAATCATTTGTCAAGCTTGCCAGAAAATTCTTTAAGGTTTTGTAAGTCTGCATTTTCATTATCATTGAATAATAAATTGAAAAGAAAACAAGTTTTAAGAAACAAGAAATAAATTTATCTTCAGAGTAAATTTTAATACAAACAAGAATTACAAAAATGTATTCATAAATTTTCTTTTCAAATTAAAGATGAAGCTATATATTTTCCAATTGTGTCAATGTAATTTTTCACAAATTATTCAACATTGAAATTAAATCAAATCATCAAACCATTATCTCTCCAGCATTTGTAGTCTTTTAATACAAAGACCTAACATTTCGTTTGTAGTTTTCAATAGTTTTATCATCCTTATGTGAATTTTTGAATGTTACTTCATTAGGAACAGAAATGATATCCTAAAGTAAAGTAGCTTATGATTTACACATATTTATATTATTCTACAATCATTTCTGGCATCACCATTTCAACCCAATTCCTTCATAATATGTGAAATTAAATGTTTTTATTCATAGATCATAGTTGTTAAGTTTTCTTAAATACATAGTGTTCATTATCAATAGAGGCTCTCTATTCTTTGAGAGATTCTCTCTTTAGATACAAACAAAAAATGATGCATGTGTGCAGGGAGAGTAATAACACAAAAATTTATAACAATTTAAAGCCTGATGCTTACTTGGCTGATTTTATGACAACAGCATGGTCAGTGGAATGCAAAATTTTGGACAAATGAGTAGCCACACTGTTTTCGTAAGTACAAATACCTTCAAACTGAAAGAGAGAAAATCCCATTCAGAAACAAAAAATGAAAAATGACAACATTAATAAGTCAATTAGTACATGAATGATACCAATAAAGAATAAGACAGAATTAAGTGTATGGCCTTCTTGGTGGATTAAATAGTTTCATTTTTTGCTACCAGTTTTAGAGCCTAAGTGAATGGCTAGGGTGGTCATCACCACTTGACATAACTGGCACAATACTATTTCCTACTCCTATAATCCTCCATTTTATTGCGTTGTGCCAAACTAAATAAATATCAAAACAGACCAGAGTATAAAGGCTGACATGATTGGGGATAAAAAGTTACATTTGCTATAGTCATTGCTCTTATTTTTTTGATTATATTGTGTATGATCAACCATACCTTCAAACAGAGGCAAGTTACGTAATATTTTATATGCATAAAAATTTTTTTTTTTTTAAATATTGGGTGTAAATGACTTTATTGAACTTTTCAGTTTTTGATTCATAAATATAGTTTTCACTTAATAACAATATAACCTAAATGGATTGAAGTAATGATTGAAGTAAACGATTTATAATACTATAAACTATTATAATTAAAATTTTTAAAAATGAAAACAATTCTTTTAAAAATTCACTATTCATCAAAAAAAAATTTTTCTTAAGACAATAGTGTCCTTAATAAGTCTTATTCATTTATTGCATTTAAAAGCTTTTCTAATTAAATAATGTCATAGTTCTATTGCATTTTTATTTTATGATTTGAAGTAGATTTTTGGGAAATGAGTAGTAGTTTGAAGAAAAAAAATTGATGATTTACATTCTCCAAGGATTCCTGTTTTTAACTAATAAAATGAATTTTGAGATTGCAATTTCTCAAAATTTTATGAAATCAAGTGGTAAAAAAAAAAAAAAAAAAAAAAAAATTTTTTTTTTACCAAGATTTTCTAAAAAATAATTTCATTCATTTGTGAATGTCCTGAAAGTTTCGTTAAAATCCAACAATTATTTTATTTTTGCAAGAATTTCCAAATCAATTCGTTTTTCACCAAAAGGGCGGGGTGGGGGGTGGGGGTTTAAGCACACACACAAAACAGTAATTGTAAATATTATGTCAGCCACTGATGTGAAAAGAAAAAAAAAAAAAAAGATTTTAACCAAAATTTTGAACATGCTAGAAATAATTAAAAAATTTAATAAAATAATCAAAAAATACTTTGGTCTTTCTGCTTAATAATAAGAAACATTTTGATGATAAAACTTTGTTTTTATTAAGTTTGGGGCCTTTTTTCATCATGCTATGCTGTTTTTTCAGCAAGGAAGTGGAGGTATATTAAGTTAATAGATGGCCTTTTTTTCAGCAAGTGGTTTGCAGTCAATTTGGAAGTTGGCGATGAAGAAATAAATTTGTAAAAATATTAATGCAAATTTTATTCCCAAGCTGTGGAATATTTTTAGCCACTTTTTAGAAAGCTTTATGTAACAACTGTTGAGCAAATACCGTTTTAATCACTTTAAAGTCCTTTAATAAAACTTTTTCGACAAAAATATTTAAAATATAATAGCTTTATAGTACAGTACCTTCTACATTATATTTGTAATAATAAAAGCAACAATATGCTGAAAACTTTTTAAATGTTTGATGTTTCTTTTCTACTATAGATTGCTGGTATGACTAAGGACAGCTGTCAGATCTTGCCAATAGTGACCTAAACAAATAAAATCTAATAAAATTTATTTACTTACTTGGTGGGACAATTTCCGAGGGGCAGGCATATTACCCTCATATGTTAATATACTCCACCTGCATAAAAGAGAAATACAAATGGATGGGAGTTATTCAAAGTAAAGGAAAAATCATAAGAAAAAATTTTATCTAAGCAGAGGACATAATTTTTCTATCACAGACAGTAGATATGAAGAACAAAAGTAACGAAGATTATGATGAGTAACCAATTTCAAAATACTCAGTAAATGTTTATATTCATTACCTACTTCCATTCAATTTTGTTCATAAATAAATGTTGCCTGAAAAACATTTTACAGTTACAAATTTGAAAATAAGTTGGATTCTTTTTCAACAAAAAGTGATCCCCCAATTCCGCCACCAATTTTTTTTTATTTTTTTAAAGAAATGTACAAATGAAAATCAATACAAACCGGTCCAGCATCTTTATCTGTGAGTGTTCAAGCTTCTCCAATACAGTAGGCAACTGAGTGTCATCATCAAAAGCAGCACCCCAGCCTAATACTCGAGCCAAATCATTGCCAGTGCCAAATGGTAATACTCCAATTTGACACTTAAAATAAAAAAAATCATATTCCACCTTCATTTGCAACATATTATTCATTTAATTTTCTTTTGACATTTTAAAAATTTGCATAAATCAACGCGGTAACATTTTTATTTCATCAACTTGCTACTAAATTGCGTCAATATTACCATATGTAAAAGATAAATGTAAGGAAATGCCAGGTAATTGTGAACAGATTATATATATATATATATATATATATATATATATATATACTTATTTTTTTTCTTACTCAATTTTCTAAGTCTACCAAAAAATTAATCCTTGAACTTGAAAGGATCACAATGAAAACTAATCGACATGATATGTCTAAAATTATTTAACCAAACCTGTTTGAATATATATTTTAATCATTTCATCCAAGTAAGGCATTAATGCAAGATAAGATGCAAGGGATTACAGGGATTAGAAGAGAAGACTTTACTAAGGAGAAACGATAATAAAAGAACAGGATTCAGGAAGACAGAAGATAGCATTTGATGTTGGTTTTAAATTTGGGAGATTGTAGATGGCAAAGAAAGCAAGAAACTGGAAGAGTTTCACAGGTGAGAAGTGTAAGAAAAGAAACTTAAAATAGAACTTACAGGTACATATAGCTATTTCAGTAATAAAACAATGAGACCGTATCTGTTTGGCTAAATTTGGCATTTTTTATTCATGTTTTACTATCATGACCACAATGGCAGATTTCAACAAATCCTTGATATTGTGGAGACACTGGTTGGATACTTCTTTTGATGATGTCCCAGAGATAGTAATCCAGAGTATTTAGATCAGGAAAGTTATGAGTTCAAATATTGGGGATGGGTGACATGATTTATGGAAATTGTTTGAAAGCTACTCATGGGTTACATAAGCCATATGGGAAAGAGCAGAATCTTGCTGGAACACATAGCCACATATAGCCACTCCTTCAATCAATCATTTGATAATTGCGTCAAGTATTTTTACTTAAATATTGACACCTAAAGCCTGGTAAGAAGAAGTGGTAATAACATAGCTCTTCTTATTCACAACTCCTAAGACCATCACAAATGATGTAAACTTGGTGGGAAACCCCATTGATACCTGCTTTGTGTGGTCTGTGTAGAGCCATATGTTGTTGTTGTTCTTGTTCACCTGGTCATTTTCAAGAAGTTTGCTATCTTTGAGTCAATGTAGTTGGCAGCTAGTGCCATGGACACTATGTGCATTTTTATTTTCTCTGTCAGATTGGAAGTTGTCATGTTAATGCTCTTGCTACATCTGAAAGAGTAATGAGAACATTAAAATTTGAAAATACCTCATAACATTACATTTGATAGTCTCTTCCATTTATGATCCACTAAAGGTGCATCCTCAAATACCCAGTACTCTCATTATACATATGCATGGGTGCATAGCTGAGTGGTTAGAACATTTGCTTTCTGACCATGGGACCCAAGTTCGAATCTCACCATGGTCGATTTGTCAGGAAGGAGACTTCCTGATGTTATCAGACTGGATCAGGGTCAGTCCCAGCATGTGGCATCTTTGGAAAGTGCCTGAAAACCATACCACTGGTTGACCCAAGCCTTGTGAGTGAAATTGGGTAGACGGAACTCTTGGGGGCCGTTGATAGCTGTGCTAGCACAAAGCCACAAGTCATCGTGGCTGAGGGCGTGAGCATGCTGGCCTTGTTCAATTTGTTGATCATGCTAAATAACATGCTCTCTAAATAACATGCTCTCTCCAAGAAACTCTAAGGTCTGCTCAGCATAATTGCAGTATAAACCACAGGTTGTGGGTGTTGAGCAAACACAAATGTGCCTGAGCGAGCGTCTGCAATAGGGATTAGCTACTAAATCTCATCATTTAATAGTTGAAATGGCTAAATGTAAACTATGCTAATATTTTCATCTCACACTTCTCTCCTGTGGAACTTTCTTCCAGTTCCTTGCTTTCCAGTCAACTTTGATCTTCAAAAATTTAAATGTAGTGTTAATCGTTATTTTCTGTCTCTTTAAATCCTCTTTTATTGTTTTCTCTCCTCAGTGATGTTTTTCTTTTTTTCCTCAGATTCTTTTCCCACTCACTAGCCTCATGTGTCAGCAGTTTTATTGCCTTTGTAAGAGTAAAAAAAAAAAAAAAAAAAAAAGTACAAATTTTTAGACTTGTAAAAGTAAATAAATATAAAATACCTGTTTATGGATATCCAGTTTATCAATCTCTGCAAGCACCCACCCAATACTGCCATCACCACCACAAACTAAAATTCGAAATTGATCAAATTTCTGGAATAAACGCAACCTAAAATAAAATAAATTGCAGTGCAAGTAAAACTCACTGAACCCATTTCACAAAATAATTCATGACATTTCAAAATCAAAAAAGGGCTTTTGCTCTAGGATGTAATTGTATAAAATAATGAAAATGCCTTAAGGTTTATGTTTATACTTTTATAAAAAAAAAATTAAAAAAAATCTATCTTCATTGAAATATGGTGAATAAGAGATCAAATTCTATGAAGATCTATTCCCAAGAAAGTGACTTCTCATCACTGCTATAAGAATGTTATTCCTTTGTGCAATTTTCACATGCTTCTGGCCTACAAGGAATTATGAAAATATCACTAATATAACAAACTATTTCACTTTTCTTTTTTCAAACAAGTAACTTACTTAAATTTCATAATAGTTTTTTTCATTATTTTTTATGTAATAATAAAAAGTATTTAGTATAAATTAGTAAATTATTAAAAATGTTCTGCAATATATGACCTATTGAATATTAATAATATATGTAGATAATGTAAGATGTTAATAAAACTTAAGAAATATCACAGATTCTCTTAAAAGTAGAAAATCAGTAACAGATTTTTTATAGAAGCATATTAATTACAAAGCTTCAATTTAATAAAAATTTGTATTTAGAATTGAATGCTTGAAATATGTGAAAGGGCTCCCCAAAGTTAAGGGTTAACTTATCATTAGAAACGAGAATAAGAAATTCCATTTACAGCTGAAAATTAATTTTGATCCTCTGGTAGGTGCATGTGTGGGGGCTGGGGGGAGATACCATGTTCTCAATTAAAGAAAAAATGCTGGAACTAATATAATTGCTTTTTTGTTATATTTTTCTTTAAATATGTAAAAAAGAATCTTTTTAAAAAAAAAAAAAAAAAAAAAAAAAAGAAAAAAAAGCTTATTTGAATAATTATTTAAGTTTTAAATAAACAGGAATCTAAAAACAATTAAGTCTACAGACTTTTTAAAATATGAAACCTATGACTAAAACATTATTAGTTGCACCGATTAAAATTCAGTTCATTTTCAAAATATTTATATAATTGAAAGGAAGAAGTATTCTAGAAAAATCTGATATCAAAATTATTTTTTAACATTTTCAGAAAACGTCTGTTTAAAATCTTATGTTCATATTTTTAAAATGTCTGTGCTCTTCTGCTGTCTCAAAAAAAAAGATGGGGTTTGGGACACGTGCATGCAGTTTACAGGTTTAAAAAATTACTACAATTCAACTAAATGAAAATTAATATTTTTGGTATTTACTTTAAAAAATGATTTTATTTTTGAAAAGGTTTGAAAAAAATATTTCATGTACATTCACTCCCCATACTCTCATTGTCAAGGAGTTTGTAATTACTTTTATACAGGGATGAAGGTATGAATATATAATTTTTAATTTTTACCAATACCCTATTTTAAAAATGTAATTAAAACTTTTCTCCTAAGTTAGTTTTGTTTAGATAGCAATAAAAAAAAAAAAAAAAAAGGTGTGAGGAAAATTCCAAAATTGCTTTAAATTCTTTAGAAAATTATCTATTTAATATCTGTTTTACATCTAAAAATAGATGAAGAATATAAAACAGAAACAGACTATTATAAAAATTGGTCTTATTGAAAAAAATGAATATTTTTTCTTTTTTTCTTTTACACAGATTTAGAGGGATTGGAAAAATAACTAAATTAAAATTCTACAGAAAATTCTTATCCTTGTATAATTTGCATGTTTCGGTAAAATCTAAAATTTGTTCCAGTTGAACAAATCAACAAACTGCATATTTTACCTAGTAATATAATTAGCTGGAGAAAAAGGTAAGCAAAATTGATTAAAGGCTTAAAATTATAAACAATCAAACAAGGTAATAATTATTTTGAAAAATTAACAAATGAGCCACAATGTTTGAGATGGCAATTCAGAGTGAAACAGTTAATCAGTATGAAACAGTGATTGCAAATCATACAGTGAATAGAAAAATGAATAATGTGCCAAATTATTCTATAGTCTTAAAAATACTATCAGAGCATGTGACAAGTATCAAATCTATGCAGTGTATTGTAACCTAGTCATTATAAAAGAGTGCTGACAATTTAAACATCAAGTGTCTTGTCATTATAGTGAACACTGAAAACAGTTGGTGTTATTGTTTGATGTGTGCAAAATTTATTACCAGAGTTAGGATAGTCATTCTTGCCACATTAGTAAAATAAATGAGGCTGAAAAATAAAAGAGAATTTTAATTCAGTTTCAAGACATTGGGAAGTTTGTGGGGGAGGAGGACAGTGTTATGAAGATTCTCTTTTTATTACCATCTCTCATATATTTGTTCTATTTTAGTCCAACACAGTGACAATGACATGAAAGAAATCTGAAACTTTAAAAGAAAAACAATTATCTAACAGCACAGATTTAACCTTCTTTTTATCCAAGCAATCTCAAAATTTGATATTATTATTATTATTATTATTATTTCTAAGTGATATTAGACATTTTAGCAAAATTAAATATAAAAGGTATCTCCCATATGAATGAGAAAGTAGTTTTAGCAGTGATTTTTTTTATGAGTTCAAAATCTCAATAGAATGTTGTTAGTAATTTCAGAAAATTAATGATTAGTATGATTAGAGTAAGAAAAAAGAAGAAAAAAAAGAAGGAAAACATAATTTGATCAGGAATATTGCTTGAGAGAGAAAGAATATCAACAAAACAAAAGATTTCCAAACATTTCAACCTCTTCAGACTGGAATGGTTTTAGATGAATTCAAATTGGTGAAATATCTTGTCAGTTGCTCCAGGACAATAATTGTTTCTTTGGATTTCCTACTCTGGCAGGGAATCTATATGATTCACTGCCTGAGTAAGAAGTAATTTCTCATGAGATATCATGTCAGCTGTTTACAAGTTGTTAAAGAAAGAAAACAGAAAAAAATAACCATTCTTTGGCATTTTAATTGCAAAAACTTTCCTTTCATCACTGGAAATAACCTGAACCTGTGTGGGCATCCTCACTAGAATACGATCTATGCACTCATTTTTTTAAATGTCAATCTAATTTATAAACTTTATTCACCAAATCCAATTCATTTTGAAAGTAATGGTTGTATAATGAAATTATCAAAAGTGCAACAGTCGGCATCCTTAATAATACTTCTTGAAATTTAAAGTACGAGGTGTGGTTGGTGTTCTGAAAAAATTCTTGGTCTAAATCATTTCTCAAAATCTGACATATCTATGGAAGGACATTTTATTAATTCAGAGTTACTTTTATTTCAAATAATCTGCTATTAGGTTCAACAAAACTTGAGCCTTACCCTGGATTGGGGCCTCCATTCATCAAGTCAAAAACTTGAGCTGGATTTAATAACTGTTTGAATCTCCGCAAAAACTTCACACCCTGAAATGATAAAATAGAAAAAGAAACATAATCAACAAGGCTAAATGGAAAATCAGTTCTAATTGGGATTTTTTTTTTGTTTTCAATAAAAGATTTGAAAAAAAAAAAAAAAAGATGTTATGGACTTAATTTGAATTTGCTGAAATGCTTTTTCTAGTGACATAATATCTGGAAAAAAATCATCATTCCTCATGAATACTGTTATTTTGAAAATGGATTAAATCCAGCAATGATTGAATAATGAACAAGTTGGAAACTTTTATAAATTTGGTAAGTTTTCACTATTTTGCTTCATCTGAAATTTTGAGAGTGGAATGATTTGGAGTTTTATTTCACTTTTTAGATTCTATGTTGTTTTGTTATTATTGGTTTTCTAGACATCATGTGTCTATCTCAAGAAATTTGTGCAGGTTTCATTTTTTAAATGTTAGCTTAGTGTGTATTAAAAATTGTGTATAATATGACAAATGTTAGAAGTGAAATGTGTAATATTAGATTATATCATCTGCAAATGTGTGGATTTGGCATTCTCGAAATATATGTTTTATGAATATTGATGACATAAGGAAACATGTCTGGTGAGTATTTATTATATTTTGATTATTTATTAAGATTCCTTTTACATATTTTCTCCACACGGTTGTTATCCTTTTTTGCTAAGGTAATGTTTTTAAAAGTGAAATTATGGTCTGCTTTATTTCTATGAGATATTAAGAAATTTAATGGATTTATCCCATTGAAGGTCTCTTCTGTATTCGTAAATGTGGGCTTTTAGATTCCCTGAAGTCTCACCAATATAATTCTCATGACATTGTAGGCAGTCTAATATATCCCATCTTCTTATGTATTGTTGTTGATTCTATAATTTTACTGTTCAAATCTTTGTCTTGGAGTGAGTTGTTATAATTTTTGTTTGGGATAGTTAAATAGTTTTAGAGTTCAATAGACAAAGAATTTGTTGGTAGAATTATGAACTTAATATTTTTGTTTTTTATTAGTTTTATGCATTTTGCATACTTTTCATCTTGCATGAAGAATGAAGGATATCAAACATGATAAAAAATGTGAATAATACAAAACCCAGAAAAATTCACACATTAAGAAGAAATAAAAAAACATCCTATCTTTTCTTCATATTCTATTCATCCAAAATAATAACAAATGATTTTAAGGTTTACTAAAAGCCAACAAATAAAAACAACCTAATTAATTTTTATACCCATCACAACAAAATAAAATCAGAATTGAAGGTTTCTATCCAAGAGGTTTTTGAATATGCAACTTTGAAAACCCAAATAAAAGAAAAAAACTATATTGAAAAAAAAAAAAAAGTTTACTCTTTCACTCCCACCATTTCATGCATACTCCATTATTTATCCAATGCATAGATATTTGAATTTGAAATTTAACTTATAAAAAAAAAAAAGAAAAAAGAAAAAAGAAAAGAAAGAAAAGCATACAGGCAGAAAGATTTTTGTTTAGAGTACTGACAATATTTAGTTCCTGATAATTGCCTAGACAACCGAAAGTACTCAAACAAAAAACAGTTTACCCACCATTTTGATCTGGATGTGAATTTGAAAAAATTAGACAGACCTTGTTGGTTGAATTTAATACAATTTGTTTAAATGAATTTTTAGTACCTAAATATAAAATATATTTATTACCAGTTTTTATTGAAATGTTTACACTACCATTTTACTAATGAAATTACACAGAACAGCTAAACCTGAAATCTATTGAAAAATCAATCCATACATTAACAGAGGTTTGCTTCATAACTGAAAAATTATTATTATATTAAATATATAGTAAATTTCAAATTAGTTTGGTGTAAGTTGAGCTCAGTCATATTTTTTATGAGAAAAGATTGGTGTTATAAAAAGAGAGAAGCGGAAACTTATAGCCTAGAATGTTGTGATAATAGATGCAGCTGTGAATCTGTTCTCAAGAAAAGATAACAGCCCACCCCCACAACATGATGAAGAATATAAGTAATTGTTGATGATAGTGATAACTTCCCTTCTGTGAAAACACCTTTATCTTATGACTCATCCAGCAGGTGGAGGCTTGCAAGCATCCCCCATTGACCCAGTCACCCTATACACCTCAATGATTCATTAGCTGGGTGGAGTAGCAGCAGTAGTCAAAACAAAATGGATCAATGACAAATCAATCACTCTCTGTAGTAGTAACTCTGATAATTCAAAAGTTTTAGCTTGGTAAAGATAAACCTTATAAGTATAATGATGGCAAAAATACTTCAAAACTGAAAGAAAAAACTTGTTTCTTTTTTCTCATCAGAATAAGATTTATAGCAGCAACTTTACCAGGTATAAGATTTTAGTTTTGAGATGCAGCTAGTTTAAATGAAGTTATTTTGCTTGTACTTATATTCTAAGGATTTCTTTTTTGACCTTTTATATAAAACATATTTAATCTATTTATATGATGAGTTGTATTAAATCTCCAAGAGTGATTGAGAAAAAGCTTTCCATGAGAAATACCCAAGATTGTTACTAATTATATTAATTGGCATAAATTATAGACATAAAAACAATAAAGTTAAAAGAATTATCAGGTCATCCCATAAGTTCTGTCCGAATTTTAACTTTTTGTTAAAATGAATGAAATTTAAAGAGTATTTTATAATGTCTAATGGAACTGAACATTATTTTTATGTTTAGATGCATTTAAACTGATCAAATTTTATTTCAGAGAACAATAAAATTAAATTTTGTTTGATTAAAACCCTGCTAACATGGAAGTACCCAAGAATCATTTCAAGCACATAATGCTTTATGAGTTCAAGAAAGGAAACTCAGCAGCCGAAGCGGCTAGAAACATTCACTCAGTTTATGGAGAAGAATGTGTGAATGAAAGAAATTGCAGAAGATGGTTTGCAAAATTCAGGTGGAGATTTCACCCTTGAAGATGAAGATCGAACCGGACGTCCAGTTGAGTTTGATGAAAAGCTTCTTGAAGCAGCCCTTGAAGAAAATCCCGCTTTATCAGTTGAGGAATTGGCAGTGGTTCTCAGTTCAAACCATACAACTGTTCATCGTCATCTTCAACAACTTGGAAAAGTTCCTAAACTTGGAAAATGGATACCTCATGAATTGTCTGAAAACAACCTCAAATCCTGAGTTGACATCTGCTCTTCTCTCCATTCTCGCCAACTTGTTTCACCTTTTTTAGATAGACTTGTGACGAAAAATGGATCTTTTATCAAAATGTTAAGCGTCGTAGACAGTGGCTTGGTAAAGGGGAAGGACCCCAGCCACAGCCGAGAAGGGAACTTCATGGGCAAAAGGTTCTTCTTTCAATCTGGTGGGATCGCCAAAGAATAATCCACTTTGAATTCTTACCACCTAATGCAACAATTAATGCTCAAATATACTGTCAGCAATTAGAGCGTTTGAACCAAGCTTTGATGAAAAAAAGACCTGCTCTAGTGAATCGAAAAGAGGTGATGTTTCATCAGGACAATGCACTACCCCACACAGCAAGAATCACGTCACAAAAGATCGAAGAACTTGGTTGGGAGAAAATTCCTCATCCACCTTATTCTCCCGATCTTGCTCCTTCAGACTACCTTTTGTTTACAGAGCTTACAGAATCATTTGGAAGAAACAGCTTTTTGTAACACAGGAAGAGGTTAAAACTGACATTTGTGAGTTCTTCAAATCAAAGCCAAAAGAATTTTACAGTAATGGAATTAGTAAGCTTGTTAATAGATGGAAGGAAGTCATAGATAATCAGGGAAAATACATTGTTGATTGAATCTGTAATTAAATGTAACATTTGGTCACTTGTTTTCTTTATTCAAAATTCGGACAGAACTTATGGGATGACCCGATAATTACAATAAAATGAATCAGCACCTGGAATTGTCTGGGTCTGAACTTGTGAATTAACAAGGTTTTAACTAGTATGATTGAGTGAAACAAGAAACACCCAATCCTGGAGATGATAACAGCTGAGGTAAACCAGCTGGCCCTAGACTGATCTCGAAAGGCCAAAATTCCAAATTGGAATTGTTATTTTATAATCTCATTCACCCATTTTTGCTTGATTGTATATTAGCTGAGGTCAATTCATTTGAACCCAGTTATGCGAGTTAAAAGAATGAGATCAAAACTCTCTTTTACTATTTATGTAATAAAAGGTTTTGATGATCTTATATGTACGTATGTAAATCAACTGTAACATAACACTTAAAAGAAAGGTGTTCCACATAAAACAGTTGAAGTAGGCATACATTGATTACCCAAAGTTGGTCCACTGTCTATAGTCAGAAGAGACATGATCTATAGTTTTCTGAGAAACAACTGCCATTTGACTAGCCATTCACTTAGCTAGATTGTTTTGCTCTTCATGCCCAGGAAGAACTCAGATTTTATCTCTAACTAATTTGTAATAGTTGGATGATAATAAACTTACCATCTAAAAGTCAAGTACTTGTATAGAGAATGAAGGAGAGAGATAAACACAAGAGGAAAAATTCTGGCCATTAATACCCAAAAAGAAGGCCTTTTGTCAGTCAGAAAAGAAAAAAAAAGCTAAAGAAAATTATGCAATAAGGGTAGAGTAGACATATCAGCTTGTGTATCTTAACTTTTTTCCTTTCTTTTTATATATATATATATTGCTTGACTTTGGAAGAGACCTGACTTGATTTCAAAACATCCCCAGCATGGTAGTAGAGGAAGAACAAATAACTGGGTCTTAGCAACATGTTTTATGAGGCAAGGAAATGATTTGACTAGAATCAGGGTTTACTTAGGTCAATGATCGCAAATAGGTTCCTAGTTAAATCCAACATACAACTCTATGCAACCACTCCAGTGAGAGCTTGATATACATTTGAGGTTGTAATAAAATAACCACTAAACTTAAATATAAAAACAAATTAAAACATTTATCTCAATAACAAAATT